ATTGCTAAAATACAGCTTGGAAATTATGAGGAATTCAATCAGAGCGCTGAGATTACAGCAGTCTGAGTAGATTTGTGAGTTTTGCACATTTGTATCAAGGCAACTGAGAAACAGCTCCAGCAATTTTGCAAAGCCTAGCTCTGACTGACTAAAGGCAGTCAGCCAAAGGTTAACATGCTATCTGATGGAAAAAATAAGTTTCTAGTGATTCTACAAATCTCACACCCCCAGAATAATCAAGTGCAGGAAGCACATGATTACTAAATTACATTGCATTACATTACATACACACAGAGTATCCGCCATGCTTTGCATTTTGCATTTTGCTTGGCTGAGGCCATTACATTTCAGTATTCTGCAACTGGTTCTAGTATATCAGTTTACTCAAGTAAAAAGTAACTTAAATCCTGACATGCTAGATATTATGGTAATGCATATCTCTAGAAACTCAAAGCTAAGGGCTCTCTATTAATACTTTCTCTTTCCATAGAGTTAAGATTTTACTTCCCTGGAGGGTCACAATGCTGTCATTAATGACAGAACAGGACTGGTTCAATTCCATTTATTTTGGAAGCTGATTAGATTCCCCATAACTCTTTTTTGCTACACTGGCAGATGCACAAGTTATAATCAGTTATCTCCTTCATTCTGATAACTCACTACAGCTACCTTCATCTGAGCAATGACACTCTTTGTTATCAGCACTTAAGTTAAATATAGTTTTGGTGTCTTGTGACACAGGTCAAACTGTCAAAGCAAAGATACTGATGCCATGTAAGACATGACAAAATGGCAAAGAGATTGTCTGCAGGTGATACAACAGAAAAGACAGCTCCTGCGACTCCAGGACCAAACCCAGATGCATGAGAACAGCACTGTTTGGAGATAGGGAAGTACCAGGGGGTGAGTTTCCAATCACCGCCTTAAGCCTGGCCACAGGATCCTGACACTGTAGCTTATGGTATTCTGTACTGCTCAGTACTCAGTAAGGGTGCACTGATAAAAGATTTTCTTGGCCAATACCAATAGCCGATGATTAGCCAGCCATATTGGCCAATGCTGATCTGATAACAGATATTTAGTAATAGTGCAAGGCATTTTAAACTACTGACACAAATAAGACTTTCTGTTTGTTTGCTTTGTATTTATAACACACACATGCCTCCTGCCTGCTTTGGCCCTCATAAGGAAGACGGTGACCACTTCATTCCCACATACATCACTCCCTCATCCATGGCTCCTACCTGCATCCCTGCTCCCCGTGCAGCCTGCGCTGCCATCCTGGGCAGGTAGAGTAGACCTTTGTATGGGCAGTGACACCAGGTGCGTTTGGAGCCCCAGAGCACACCAATGCCTCAGTGCCAGTGGGCCCCACGCAGCCGAGCTCCCCCTGCTGCCAAGGAGAAGTCACTTTTGCGAAGGCACCTGGTGCCTGGCGGAGCTGAACGTCCCTTGTGCAGTGTCCTACCCGCCCGTGCACAGCCCAATGTCGCCGTGGCAGCCCCAGCACTCAGACCCCTGCTGCTCTGAGAGCTGTCTCAAGAATATATATATATATAAGCTAGACTTGGAATTCTTGAGACAGCTCTCAGAGTCCATACAGTCTAGGGACATGGTTGTCATGGGAGACCTAAACTACCCTGACATCTGCTGGGAGAAGCAGTCAGCCAAATCCAACCACTCACATAGGTCCTGTACGCAGGTTAAGAACCTTCACCTAACTCAGAAGGTACATGGTCCCACTAGGGTGAATACCTTACTGGACTTGGTGTTGGTTATGGGGGAGGACCTGGTAGGGGAGCTGCAAATTCGTGGTCACCTTGGGGACAGCAACCACCAATCAATCGAATTCACCATATGGTGTAGGGTGGGTAAGGTAACTAATAGGGTGGAAGCGCTTGACTTCAGGAAGGCTAACTTCAGTGTGCTTGGGAGTCTAGTCAATGACGCACTGCAGGATAAGAGTATTGGTGAGATGGGAGTCCAGGAAGGGTGGTTGTTCCTAAAGGAAGCGATCCTTCAGGTGCACAGGGAGACTATCCCAGTACGAGGGAAAAGGGGGAAAGGAACCAAAAAACTTCCTTGGCTAAACAGGGAAATCCAGGGGAACCCAAGGGCAAAAAAGAAGGCATATAGGCGGTGGAAGCAGGAGGAAGCTACCAAGGAGGAGTATACCTACTTGCAGGGAGGCAGTCAGAAAGGCCAAAGCAACTACAGAGCTGAGGCTGGCAACATAAATTGAAGACAACAAAAAGTCTTTTTTTATAGGTATGTAGGGAGTAAAAGGAAGGCACACAGCAGCATAGGACCCCTACTGAACAAGAAGGAGCAATTAGTGACCGACAGAGGGGATAAGGCTGAGCTATTCAATGAGTTTTTTGCCTCGGTGTTCCTGAACAGGGGTCAAGATAAGTCTCCTAATGGGCTCTTAGACAGGCATCAGTGGGACACCAGCCCACCAACTGTCAATGCTGACTTGGTGCAGAGTCACTTGGATAGACTGAATGTGTTTAAGTTGGCAGGTCCGGAAGCGCTGCATCCGAGGGTACTGAAGGAATTGGCGAGTGTCATAACAGAACCACTGGCACAGCTGTTTGAGCACTCCTGGCACTCGGGTCAGGTCCCGGAGGACTGGAAAAGGGCCAATGTGGTTCCTATTTTGAAGCAAGGGAGGAAGGAGGATCCAAGCAATTATAGGCCAGTCCCACCTCACCTCCATCCTTGGAAAGGTCTTTGAAAAGGTTATGAAGGATCATATTTGTGGGAGCCCAGAGGGAAAAATAATGCAGCAGGACAACCAGCATGGATTCACTGCAGGCAGATCATGCCTGACCAATCTGGTTTCATTTTATGACAGCGTCACACAAAGCTTAGATGCAGGAGTAGAGGTGGATGTCATTTTCTTGGATTTTAGGAAGGCCTTTGGTATGGTACCTCATCCCATTCTCATAAATAAATTAAAGAGACTGTGACATAGATGTTTACACATCTGGTGGGTGGCAAATTGGCTTAGCGGTCATACCCAGAGAGTGGTAGTAGATGGGTCGGTATCAACCTGGAAGGATGTGGGTAGTGGGGTCCCACAGGGTTCGGTCCTCGGATCTGTACTCTTCATTATCTTCATTAGTAACTTGGATGTGGGTGTGAAGTGTACCCTGTCCAAGTCTGAGGATGATACTAAATTGTGGGGTGAAGTGCACACTCCAGAGGGTAGGGAACAATGGCAGGCAGACCTGGACAGGTTGGAAAAGTGGGCAGTACACAATAGGATGCAGTACAACAAAGACAAGTGCAGAGTGCTGCACCTAGGGCACAACAATATCCAGCACATCTACTGGCTAGGAAGTGAGCTTGTCAGCAGCACAGAAACGAAAAGGGATCTCAGAGTCATAGCAGACTCCAAGATGAACATGAGTTGTCAGTGTGACAAAATCATCAGCAAAGCTAACTGCATTTGATCATGCATCAACAGATGCATGACGAATAGATACAAGGAGGTGATACTTCCCCTCTATGTGGCATTGGTCAGACCGCAGGTGGAGTACTGCATCCAGTTTTGGGTGCCGTACTTCGAGGATGTTGATAGACTCGAGAGGGTCCAGAGAAGAGTCACTCATATGGTTAGGGGCTTACAGGACAAGCCCTATGAGGAGAGACTGAGGAACCTGGACCTCTGCAGCTTCCGCAAGAGAAGGCTGAGAAGTGATCTTGTGGCTGCCTACAAATTCACTAGGGGGTGCAGCAAGGGATCAGAGACGTTCTGCTCACCAGGGTGCCTCTTGGGGTAACAAGGAACGACAGTCACAAACTGACAGAGAGCAGATTTAGGCTAAATACCAGGCAAAACTTCTTCATGGTACGGGTGGCCAAAATTTGGAATGGGCTTCCAAGAGAAGTGGTGCTCTCCCCTACCTTGGGGGTCTTCAAGAGAAGGCTGGGGAGGCATCTAGCTGGGGTCATCTGACCCCAGCACTCTTTCTCGATGATCTGGTGAGGTCCCTTCTGACCCCAGCATCTATGAATCAGTGCACCCCTAGTAATCAGTGTTGGGAAGCAGCCAAAATGTGTGCTTGTGATCTATAACCTTCCCCCCCATTTTTTAAATAAAAAAGTTTGAAGTTTCAGGGTTAAGGTAGTCATTACTGGCAGGGGAGCCCAGGCCTGCGTGACTGACCTGAGATGCATCAAAAATAAGTGCAGTCACACCAGTCTCGACATTGTTTCCCTAAGAACAGGGTTTACATGGATAACAAGACTTTCTGATTTTGGAAGAGCTGCGAGCTGAGCTCTAATAAGATCATTGTGATAAAGTACAGAGCTGGCCTGCAGATGACAAAGACAGTCCAGTAGTTTTCCAAAGACAGTCCCATGTCAGTCCTAGGAAAGAAGGACCACACGCCGGTGCAGAGGGAGGGGATAGACCACTGGCGGCCACCAGGGTGAGGGAGGAGCCGGATCACAAACTCAAACGCGGGAGACAAGAGCTCTTGTGGGCGATATCTTTTATTGGACCAACACACAGGGTCGAGACAGGCCCAGGGAGGCTTCCTCTGCTCCCTGCCTCAGGCCCGCAGCCATCGCCTCAGCTCTCCCGCACCCGCGGAGCTCAGCACAAAACACCAAACCCCATTTTTCAGTGTGCCAAGAGCACAGGCCCACTCCGCGCGCCGGGCCGCAAACAGCCCCGGCCCTCCCCAGGCCTCGGCGCAGCGCTGCCAAAGACTGCGGGCCGGAGACCAGGGCAGCGGTGGCCCGGCGGCCGGGCGGGAGGCGGAGGCGATCCTGCACCCGTCGGACAGGGCCCAAGGAAGCCGGCGCAGCTGTTGGGCCCCCGCCGCCTGCACCAAGCCGGCCGGGAGAACTCAGGACGCCTCGAGCCCCGCTCCCCCCGGCGCGGGCAGCGCCCAGGCCCCCTCCCCCGCCCACTCACAGGGGCCGGATAAGCAGCTGGTCGCTCTCCTCGGCCGGGATCATGGCGTCGGCCTTCCTCTTCGCCGACATAGCGGCGAACGGGCGCAAAGCAGCGCGCTGTGTCCCTCGCCGGCACCCACACTCGGCGCCCCCAGCAGCTTCCGGGCCGAGGGGGACCGGAAGTGGAAAGGTACTTCCGGTTGCTGAGGCTGGTTGCTGTGGTGAGGAGTTTGCCGCTTATTCGGGGCGTTGTCCACGTCCCGCGGGCTGGGAGCAGCGGCCCCGGCCCGGTGCTGCCCTCTACCGCCGGGATGAGGCTGGGGGTAATCTGGGCGCGCGTGCGGGGGCCCTTGCGGGCCGGGCCGTGACCCCCTTAAAAGGATCCTGTGGCAGCCCAGGGTGCTGCGGCTCAGCCTGGTTGAGAACCGCTGCTCTAAAGCTTGTCATTGAGTAAACCTGTTTAATCAGCTGCTCTGCTTCCGTGTACCCTGTTCAAACTGCATTATTAACTTTAGAAAATTATCCTTGCAACAGTTTTGTGAGCTAGTCCGTTAAGCTATAGTCCTTCCTGTTCTTACGCAGAGAGAACCCCAGACAAAGAGAACTTGGTAGTATTTTTGTACTATTTTGTTGAAGTAGCAGAGTAGGAAGAGGTGGGGCCGGTTTTGGTTCCTAGGTCCGTCCTCAAAAATCACGGGTCGAGTGGCTTTTAAGGTTAGATAGAGAGTCCATGCTGGTGTCTGGGTACTGACTAATCTTGGCGATGTCACATGACCAGTTTTTCCCCTCTCTCTTGTAGAATTTTCTTTGATCTAATTATGGTGAAAAATGTTCAGGAAAGGGAAAAAACGACACAGCAGCAGCAGCTCACAAAGTAGCGAAATCAGCACCAAGAGTAAGGTAAGCTGAGGCTGGTCTGCAGCGTCAGTCTGTAGAACAGTTCTGTCTGCTGTGATCAGACGGTTCTGTGGTTCGTTCAGCGGTGACGTTAGAAGTGGGATGTTTGTGAAATGGCAGATTCTGCAATTGAGAGAATATTTTCTGTTTCACCTGTCCTTAAAGTTGTGTTTTAAGATAACCAATACAACACCTTGTCCTAAGGTGACCTGATGAGGAGATTGCCTGATAGACTTAAAACAGTCTGCATTTTCAGTTTAAGAAAGGATGATAGATCATTGCAGCAGAGTGCCAATGCAGGAGAACTTCTTTGGACGTACAGCTGTTCACTGGCCAAGCTGAATGCTGTGTAAAAAGTATGGAAAGAGCATGCTAGTTGGGCATTTCAAAGGATCTAGCCACACATCATCTCGGGGTGGATTTGATCAGCTTCGTTGATAGATGAAATTAACAACATCCTACATAAAATTGCTTTCTATGCATTGGATTATTGGATCTAATCCAAATTTATTTTCTGAAATTAGTATTTGACCTTGAATGACCAATGAAATAATTGTAATTAGTCGATTGCAACTAGTTAGCATCTTTCAGGATGCAAGTTTCTCATTGTAGACTGCATCTTTTGGCATATACAATAGGAAGCACAATGTTCATGTATAGCAAGTAATTTTTTTGATCTGTCAGTTGGCTACCTTATTATGGATAGTTCATGTTAATAACTTTTCCTGAAATTAACAACTTGGTTTGTTTTCTTTGTAAAGCAAAGGAAGACTAGAATGAGCAGTTGTGTGTGCAAATTAGCATGTTCTTTTTCCACTATATGGCCAGTAACTCACTACTAAGTTCAGCAGCTATGCCTTCAAATATGACAGCTTTCTGACAGCACAAGAAAAGGAGTTTGTAGGAAACATTCACTTTTTTCTGTATTAATTATTAACAAGAACTTTCACAGCAGCATTGCAAAATGTTATTGAATTTGGTTCTTCTGAACAGATTAACAAAAAGACTGCCTATATTTTATGCAGCATTTCTTTAAAACTCTTTGAAGTGGAAGGTCTGACAGCCAGTAAGTATAGTCTGTCAAACTTCAGTGTTAAGAATGATGAATTCAGTCTTCCAGATTTCCTGAAATGTTTGGTATTTCTAATATACATCTCATTGCTAAAGGTCGCATCGCTTCAAATGCTAATGACAGATCTGCCCTTGCCAATTTCCCAAAGGTTATGTTACAGTCAAAGGAAAAAAATTGCAGGCAACTTCTTTAAAGTTCATTTTTGCTGAATTTTTGTCCATTTTTTAAAAAATGTTTTTGTACTTCATTAAACCCATGTGTAGTTTACATCATTATAAATGAGACCAAGACAGGATAATGCATGCCCAGAAAACTTTATTATATTAATCCTTCTGAGAAGTAGGATTAATATAATATTAAGGGGTTTTTGGCCTTGTTTCATTGGATTGATCTGATTGCTTTTAAATAGATTAAGACATAAGAGTTAAGATGCTAACAAAGTGTATGGGGTAGAAAAGCTCAAGGTCAATTGTTAAAATGTTCTTAACGTATTGCTGCTTTTCTCCCCCTTTAACTAGTCTGTAGACTCCAGTCTTGGTGGACTTTCCAGATCTAGTACTGTTGCCAGTCTAGATACAGACTCCACTAAAAGTTCAGGTACGTGTCCAGAACTGGGATAGGTTCACCAGGAGGGGATTGATTTATAAATGTGTGTGTGGGAGGGAGAAGGAAAGAGATGAAAAATGTATATTCAAGTTATGAATTACACATTTACACGGCCAGTTGAGCTGTCAGTTTGTCTCCTGACAAGCATTTGCCCATTCAGAGCGCATGAGGTGCAAGTTGAAGTGTAGAGCCATAAAGAAGTTGCACAAAAAGTATAGCAGAACTGGGGAGAGTGGTCAGAGGTGAGATGTAAAGAGGTGTAGCAGCAGGCATGGACCTGATATACAGTGTATATTAGGCCCTGGAAGTGAAGTTCTGCCGAGACAGAAAACTGTTCCAGTGTTTGAGGTAAAGGTCACTGAGTGTTTCTGTTGACTCAGAACTTCAGAGCAGGTTTTGGCCACAGAGACCTGGCTCTGCATTACATACATAATCACCAAACCAAAGCACAGAGGGGAAATACCTGGTAAACTTATTCATTTAAGCAGCTTATTGTGGCTACAGCAGTAGCAAAAAGATTTAACATTCTCATCTCTGAAAGCACAGTTTTGCCATTTAGGAATTGTCTCCTACTATCCAACAGTGTGCTAACTCTCATTCATGTAATGTTTCCACATACTGGTTTGAAGAGGCCTGTCAATGGAAATAGTAAACAGTGGACTTTCAGTGGTTCTGTTCTCAGTAGTGGCAGATAACAGAACAAGGTTCTGTTTGGTTCACCACTGTTCTCAGTGGTGGCAGATAACAGAACATGGAGCAAGGGAGGATTTAGGTTGGATATTAGGAAAAACTCTCTCACTAGGAGGGTGGTGAAACACTGGAACAGGCTACCTAGAGAGGTGATAGAATCTCCATTCTTGGAAGTTTTTAAGGCCTGGCTCATCAAAATCCTGGTTGGGATGATCTAGTTGGGGATAGTTCTGCTTTGAGCAGGGGGTTGAACTAATAACCAGCTAAAGTCCCTTCCAACCCTGTTTTTCTATGATTCTATGAAAGTAAAGTTTCCTGGCACCAAAAGAATAGGATTACTGTTTGGGTAGAACGATTGTTCCAAATTATATTTCTTTCCTTATAGGAGAAGCAAAGATTTCTTAGGGGGATCTCTCTTATTGGACCAACTCTGTAGTTGGGATAAAGTCAGAAAAGCTTTCAAGATCAAGACATTCTTTGTCAGGTCCATTTCTGGACCATCATGACCATCTCACTTTTATGCTACCATTTCCTTATAGGACAAAGCAACAGTAATTCAGATACCTGTGCAGAATTTAGAGTTAAATATGTTGGTGCCATTGAAAAACTGAAACTTGAGGAGAGCAAAAATCTGGAAGGGCCCCTGGACTTGATAAATTACATAGATGTTGCACAGGTAAGTGTGTTATGAATGTGTTGGAACATATTAAACTGATATTTCTTCCTCCCATCTTTTATTATGATCTGATGGCCAAAATCTAGACAAGTAATTTACTGTAGCGATACATGGAGTTTTAATACAGCAAGCCCTAGCTAGTAGTTGGAGGGGGGTGCCTTCAAAGGGCAGATCTGCAGGAAGTGGTGGGACTAGCTAAGTAGCATCAAAAAGAAAAAAAAGGGGATCCTGACTACTCTTGGTCACTTAAGATTGTGATGCGAGAGCCAGAATAGAATCTATGGTACTTGCACAATCAAAGGCTTCTTTTGTTAAAAGACTAATCAGGATTCTCTTCACAAGGTCAGTTAAAGCTTTAACTGCCTCTTGGACTTCAGAAACAAGGCGTTTGCAATGCTAGTACATAGCCACTTGCACATATTCCCAGTCTTGCAACAAGCATTGCCTGCATCTGCTTTCTTCTCATAAGGTAGTTGACTCACAGGACAGACACAGAGGTAACATAAGAAGCCTCATTCTTCAGAATGTCTTTTCTCACCCTGAATAACTGGATGAACTGCACCATTTGCCAGAGAGAGAGACAAATTTTTACAATTTTGTAGGACAAACCCAAGCATAGCACCTGTATTCCATGCACTAAGGATGGGGAAAAGAGCATACTGATTTAAGCTGAAGTTAGTTTAACAAAGCAAATGAAGGCCATCCAGTGTGTATATTCACTGTCACTTCTATACATTAAAGGTTGTTTTTTTTTTCTTCCAAAGCAAGATGGAAAGTTACCTTTTGTTCCTAGCGAAGAGGAGTTTATTATGGGAGTTTCCAAATATGGTATTAAAGTCTCAACATCAGATCAGTATGTAAGTGACTCTTCTCAAATTATTATTTTTTGGGTGGAAGGTGGGGAATTCTGGCACAGCACTGCCTCTGGTGCTGCAGTCCTTCCACAGTCACACCTTTCATCCAAGCCAGCAGGTATTTCATGTGTGAGACCATGTTATTTAAATCCCATTGCACTTTCAAGAAGGCAATAGATCCTTGCTATGGTATCTAAATTAAAAACCTTTTATCCATTGCTTTTCTGGCTTCAGCCTGAAAGAGACAAGTTGATGAAGACTAAAGCAGTTTGCACTTGCTTTTTTTAGTCTTTGTACCTGTGCCACCCCACTGACATCAATTTGTAGTTTAGAAACTTGGTAGCCATAGGCCCTTTATAGATATGATATTGCTTGTATTTGATGCAGAGAAAAATAAATTGCATTCCAGAATAAGTTAAGAATGTATCATTTTTACTAAGCATTTTACTAAGCACAGTGTTCTAGGATTTCTAGGTAAGAATTTAAAAGCCAATGTTTTGTGTCTTGAACAGCTTGTCTTCTAATTAAAGAAATGAACTGACATAGGGATACAAGATACTTTTCCCCAGTTTATTTGACCCTATTTCTGTTTTGTTTTTTGTCCTATCACAATCACTACAATAGCATTTTTATCCTTTACCTTTTCTCAAGGAGTCAGATGTGTCATAGAAGCTGTTACCAGGGGCATGTAAGCTTCTCTTCTGTAAATAACTCAAGCTGAATATTTTTTTCTGAAATATATTAAAGTCTTGCAAAAGGCAGTTCAAAGCATACAAGACATTTAAATAGTACTCTTTGCACTGTTTCAGAAAATCTCTTCTGCTACTTGGTTGCAGGATGTGTTACATAGACATGCTCTGTATTTAATTGTGAGGATGGTCTGCTATGATGATGGTCTTGGAGCAGGCAAGAGTTTATTGGCTTTGAAGACAACAGATGCAAGTTATGAAGAATTCAGCCTCTGGTTATACCAGTGTAATAGTCTGGTAAGACAGTGTGTTTACACTAATGGGTTTAGGGATCAGTGTATTTTTATGTCCGATTTGGCCTTCTAGCCAATGTTGTCTTTATCTGTGGTGTTTCTGAACCTTTCCTTGTATTCTGTACAGTTGGGTGGGACAGCTAAGGTACAACCATTCTAGCACAAGGAGGATTATGTGACTTCAAAGAATAGCCTCCACTTTCAGAGATAAATATTCAGATTAATTTAGGTCTAAAAATCACTATTTGTTACTCTCTAGGGAGAGGCTTCCTTAAATTCTTCAAGTAACATCCTTTCGATTATTGTTCTAGGCCAGAGGTATCAAACTCACCCCTTGGGCCAGATTTGGGCTGCCAGGCTACTGACAGCCCAGATCTGGAATACAGGATTGGCAGCAAGGCAAGTGGCAGTTAATGCAGCCATTGCCTGTCCCCCACCACTGATACTCATTGCCAGTGAGGCTCCCTGCCCTACCTCCAAGTTCCTGGCCCCTGTACAAGCTGCAAGGGTCAAACAACACTGTTCCACAGGCCCCAAGTTTGACATCTCTATTTTAGACATTCAAAAGCAGTGAAAAGGCTGTGCTGTCCCCCCTGGGCACAGGTAATGCTGGAGCATTGTTATGGAGAGCTACACCCTACACAGAAGGGACCATGTAGGGAAGAAAGGTGGAGACATTGCTCTCTGTGAAAGAACAGTTTACCTCCTTGGAGGCTGACATCGGCTCCAGAAATAAGCAGCTTGAAACCCTCTGGGTTAAGTTGCGGCCGGGGTGGGGGGCCCTAACTGTGGCTGTATACTACAGACCACCAAACCAGGGGGAAGAAATCAATATGGAGTTCACCTGAGAATTAACTGAGGCCACATGTGCACGTGACATGGTCATCATGGGTGATTTTAATTATCCAGACATCTGGGAGGAACACTAGGCCAAGTTGGATCCGTCACCATCCTTCCTGACCTGTGTTGAGGAGCCCTTCCTGATTCAGGAGGTGCATGGGCTAACCAGAGGTGATGCTGTGCTAGACTTGGTCCTGGCCAAAGGAGCCGACCTGGTGACAGACTTAAATATAGAGTGAAGTCTGGGTGACAGCAACCATGAAACCATCATGTTCACTGTCTGACATAAGGCAGACAATTCTGATAGCAGGATTGAAGTTTTAGACTTCAAAAATGCAAATTTCAATATGTTTAGGTCACTAGTAGGGGAAGTACTGTGAGACCAGGGACCGAAGGCAAAAGGCATGCACGAAAAGTTGTTGTTCCTTAAGGACACAATCCTTGAAGCACAAAGGAAGTCTGTTCTCATGCAGAGAAACAGTAACAGAAGGGCTGGGAAGCCCTCTTGCCTAAACAGGGAAATCACGGTCCTCTTAAGAAAGAAGAAAGAGGCTTATAAACAATGGAAGCTTGGGGCAGGCCCCAAAGAGGACTATTCTTCTGGCCTGTATTTTCAGGGAATGGATAAGAAAGGCTAAAGCAGCGACTGAACTTAAATTAGCAACAGGAATCAAGGACAACAAGAAGCCCTTCTTTAGGTACATAAGGAACAGGAGGAAAACAGATCAAATGGGAGTGTGGGGCAATTGCCCAACACTCAGGAGAGCTGGTTACTGGCACCCAGGAGAAAGCTGAACTCCTGAATGACTACTTTGCCTCGGTCTTTCACCAGAACAAGGGGAAAACCACGCCAGGTAAAGTAGAGAATGAGCACAGTAGGAGTAACTGCCTTCCTACTATTGCCGTAGAATTCATATATGACCAATTAAAAAATTAGACAAATACAGGTCAGTTGGATTGGATGATCTTCCTTCGAGAGTGCTGAAGGAACTGGCTGAAGTCATTGTGGAACCCCTGGCGAAACTCTTCCACAACTCCTGGCACTCTGGAGAAGTCCCTGAGGATTGGAAGAGGGGCAATATTGTGCCCATCCACAGGAAGGGCAGAAGGGAGGACCCAGGTAACTATAGGCCAATCGGACTAACTTCCATCCTAGGGAAAATCCTAGAAAAGTTAATCAAGAAGTCTATCTGCGACAAGCTTGGAGAAGGTAAGATTCTAAATGATAGCCAGCGTGGCTTCGTTGTAGGCAGGTCTTGCTTTACCAACCTCATTTCCTTCTACGACCAGGTAACTTGCCACCTGGACATGAGAGAGTAGGTTGACATTGTATACCTAGACTTCCAAAAGGCCTTTGATCTAGTATCCCACGATGTTCTCACAAGAAGATTGGACGATTGTGGGCTGAACTAAAGTCAGGTAGGTGAGAAACTGGCTGCAGGATGGGACCCAGAGTCTCGTAGTGAATGGATCTGTCATTCTGGTGAGAAGTGAGCAGCAGTGTCCTTCAGGGGTCGGTGCTTGGTCCAGTACTTTTCAGCATCTTTATGAACAATTTGGATGTGGGTTGAAGAGCTCACTGGCCAAGTTCGTGGATGACACCAAGTTATGGGGAAGTGTGGTCACACTTGAAGATAGGCTACAGATACAGGCAGACCTAGACAGGCTAGCAAGGTAGGTGGATCAGAATCTGATGAAGTTCAATGTCAAGAAGTGTAAAGTGCTCCACCTTGGGACAAGCAACCCCCAACACACCTACAAGCTTGGTGGCACCAAACTGACCAGCACCACGAATGTAAGGGACCTAGGGGTAATAGTAAACCACAGTGATATGAACATGAGTCGTCAGTGTGATGCTGTAGCCAGTAGGGGAAATAATACTCTGGCATGCATCAATCGATGCATCTCCAGCAAGACCAAGGAGGTGATTCTTCTGCTCTACTCAGCACTGGTGAGACCGCAGCGGGAGTACTATGTACAGTTCTGGGCACCGCACTTTAACAAGGACGTGGTAAAGCTTGAGAGAGTCCAAAGAAGAGCCACCTGTATGATCAGAGTCCTACACAGTAAACCATACAAGGAAAGGCTGAGGGATCTGGGACTCTTCAGCCTGAGGAAGAGAAGGCTGAGAGGGCACCTGATAGCAGCTTACTGCTACACTAAGAGAGTACATCAAGGGCTTGGTGAGCAACTGTTCACCAGGACACCCAAGGGGAAAAGTAGGAGTAATGGCCACAAACTCCTGGAAGACCATTTCAGACTCAACATTAGGAAAAACTTCTTCACGGTCAGAGTCTCTAGACTGTAGAATAAGCTCCCTCCAGAGATGGTGCAATCACCTACCCTGGAAATCTTCAAGAGGAGACTGGATGGTCATCTTGCTGGGGTCACCTGACCCCCAGTTATCTTTCCTGCTTGGTGCAGGGGGCTGGACCCTATGATCTTCCACGGTCCCGTCCGGCCTTACAATCTATGAATAATGCTGGTGGCTTGACAACTTTTCATGCATGTGCAAAGATAGCATTTAGCTTTTTTTAGCTCTGCTGGGAGGGAGCAAGCAGAAACTTTCAGTACCACACAGCACTGCTTAACAAGTAGGAAGTGTTTTCTCCTACATGTCTAACTAAACTATGAAAGGTAGTTATTTTCAGGGCATTATGGTAGTACATGAGATCTAATTACCATGCCACTAAACTTTGAGGATGATTTGGAAACCAGGGTTCTCAGGATTACACTCTAAGTACAGATAGTATTACAGGTAACAGTGCTGAATTGACTTTTTCAAACAAAAAAGTTTTATACCCCCCAGATGACTTCAAACTAACTTGAGTTGTATAGAGCTTGACTGCTAAGTTATTCTATACTGAAAGATCCTGGCAGAGCCAGTTGCACATCACACACATGAATGAGGCTTTTTTCCCCATAATATTTCATAACACAATAGCTAGAGAAGAAAATTCTAGCAGAAACATCTGTATAAGAGCATTTAAGCTCAATCCTTTTTGAGAATAATTCACTGACTTTTTATTCTTATAAAATGTAGGAACAAGCACAAGCCCTCTGCAAAGTATTGTCAACAGCCTTTGACTCTGTTTTAACATCAGAGAAGTCTTGAATTTCTTCAGCTGTCATATGGGATGCTTCAAGAATGCTTTGTACTGAGGAGAAGGGCAGCCCCCTTTTGTGACAAAACCAACTAAATCAAGCTTTTCAGAATGGAACACGTGTGAACTCTGTCACTGCTTGGACAGGATCATTAACACTGCACCAAGGAGAACCACACAATTTTGTATATATAGAAGTTTCTTATGTTGGTCTGCAGCCATTAGAAAATGACAGCTCAAGTCTGACTTACCTGAAGAAGTCATTTCAGAGTTCAGACGTCATCTTCCAGCTCATAAATTTGTGAATAATGCTGACTTTTTTCTAATTGTCAAGTTTGTATCACAAATAGTATTTTGTACAGGAATGTAAAATAAAAGTTTGACATTTGTCTTCTAACTGCTGCATGCAAAACAGATATCATGGCTGTTGGTTCTGCTTAGACCACATACCAAAAGTAGCTGGTGTGAAAGTACATGGTTATGGGATTTATTACAGCTGAGAGATCCCAGAGCTTCAGCGTTCCTCTAAGTGCACATACACATGACCATACTCCACAGTGCTGAAGCTGCTGCATGTATAGTCTCCTACTTTGAACAGCTTATTTGTTTCGGAGGCACAAACTGTACAAAGAGAGGCCAAAGTTAAGCTGATTTTAAAAGTAGTTTTATTTTTCCAGTCACTTAACTGGTTAACAAGAGTAAATTCTTTTATTAATCATGCTCTAATTATAAATCACTGCATTCAGGACATTGAAAATAAGAGTTGATTTTAGGTTATACAATATATACAGTTGCTCTGCAACTAAACAAAATAATAAAACGACTGAATTGAATATTATACATCTCAAGTAGCGTTCTAAGCTGCATTTTAAATGTTATTTGCTCCTTTTTCAACAGTTAACACAGCAACCTAATAGTTTGCCTAGACACAGATTGTTTTGAATCACGATCTCTTGAAGTCACCTTTGACACAGGTTAAAATTTTGAATCAGATATTCTTGATTTTATATTATAAATAGGTATCTACAGTCTTCAAAATTAATGCATTTTCTGCTGGAGGAGCAAACCTTGCGAAAGCATATTATTGAAACCAAGGGCATTTTTTCTTATAAATTCATCATTGGATAGTTAAGGGTTTAGTTTCCTGCACAGTCAGTGCCACCAAATAGTCACAAAATGAGAAACCAGAACTTTTCAGAAAACTAATAACCATAATTAGGATTGTGACATCTGAACATGTACACCTTTTAGCACAACTGAAGTTAATTTTGCATCAATATTTAACCTTGATGCCATATAAAAGACTGCAGGCTATTACAGATACTATAAGATTCTGTGTTAAAAAATACTGTACATAGGAGAACTGTGCAAAATAATATGCCCATTTACTTTCTAGACTCTATCTGGGATAGAAACATACAAAAGTGTCTCAAACTGAACATATCAGTAAGTGAATAAAATGGTAGTGCTAAACTATTACTCTATCATTTTTACTGGGAACTTTGAAAATGCAGACTAATTAGTTTCAAAATTTGCAACACAAGTATCCTGAAACATTCCAGTTTATTCCCTCACATAGACTGCAACAACAGCTGCTAGAAGAAACGAAAGTTAAATGTGTATCTGGCTGCACCCATACAATACCAGGCTCTCTATCACTGAACCATTTTAGGAATGGTGATGTAAGGGTAGGTCTGACTGTATCAGCATTAATGCCATTTGATTTTTCTTAATATAAGCATATGCATTGGGCTGTTTTTTGTCCCTAAACACGAAGTGGCCAATTTATACACCATTTGTCAGAAATTCAAAGTTCTCTTGATAAATATAGAGATACAATAGTCACAAAACGTGATCAAAGCCAATGTGACCTAGACATTGATTTTTCTAATCCTATGCCATCAGTTGTTTCCTGTAGCATAAGCAAAAAAAACCGGTACAGTATTGCAATATACAAACATCAAAATGACATTGGATTTCTAATGTTTTGTAGAACTGCATCAATCAACTGGGAACTAAGAATGGCTTAGCCTTTTTCACAAATTAGTAAACAAACAAGGTTAACAACAGTGTAGCTACCATATGTGGCTATATTATATAAATACAGAGTGAGTTAGCAAACTAATATTTGTTTGCAAGGTAGTAGTGGCACACCTAAAACATTGTATGAAATAGGACGTAACATGGTGTACTTGTGAGCTGTCAGATAACATATCCTTAGTACAGTATTTAAGTGTTCCACCAAATATGTTCTATGCATGTGAACATGTTCCTGTGTGACTAAGAAAATTCAAATACAAAAATTAAACACCATAATACAATTTTAAGAAATGTTCTGCAATCCATCATCCTTAGCTAAGTACATTTCAGGAAGTGCAGTTTTCATATCCTTGAGTTAATTTAGTAACTCAGTAATATTGCTATAGGTTCAATTAACCAGCAGTAGTCACATCAAATATGATTGAAAATGGATGCAACATACGGAAAGGACATTTCGAAACTGCTTACGAACACATGCAGCATAGAAAATGAAACAGGTCTCAAGCTCACAAAATTAGAACTAGAAAGTTCAACATCTAACACAGATTTCAGATAACTTTAAGCAAATATCTACATCAAATCTGAAAGAAACATCTCCTGTTATGGTGATCTGAAAGATTTCTTAGCTTTTACCTGGCCAAGATACCCAAGTTCAGAGTTCAGGGAGATTTTTTCAGCACTAGATGCCTTTTCTTTTATGAAAACCTGATACTGCCAGGTGCTGAATGTTCCAGACTCAGAAGTACTCAGCAACGTGCAGGTTTAGGCTCTAACACTTCAAACATTACACAGAGCTAACTGAATCCATTGTCCTGTTTTTGATCTTAGGATTTTCAGTGAGGATGAGGATACAACACTGAACTATGGTATTTCCAGGTTAAAAAAGTCGAAAATTAATTTAAACTAAAAATATTTGTAATAGTTAAGTGTTCACACATTTCCATGTATTTTTACTGTTTTAATGTATTTCAGTTCACCGTGGAAAAGATAATAGGAGTAACTATTTTTTTAATGTAAACAATTAATGGAAAAATTTATACAGAAAAAAACTTTTTAAGTTCCAAAGTCAGAACTGCTGTAATGACATGTCAGCTACAGTACCTAGGACTCCAAAGCATTCTGGCAAGGAGTTTGCAGGTGGGAAGATGAAACAAAGCAAATTTGATTTCTACAGCATTTGGAAATGAGAAGTTTCTCCATTTGTCAGTAGCAGTTTAGTCAACAATAAAGTGCACAAATGAAACAGGGAAAGCTCCTTTACGATTAGGATCCCCATCAATATGGCCAATCTGGAAAGACATAATTTTGGTTTTCTCCTGTTACAAAAATTCAGCATATTCTCAAAAACAGAATTATAATATTAACATCAAAGCAAATGCTAAAGCCTATCAGGCTCCTGTGAACTGCCCATGTATTAGGACAGATCACCATGCGTCTCAGTTATTGAGCCAAACTTTTAATACAGTAAACAGAAAAGAAAAATAATACAAGGGTTGTGCATGATTTACTGCTCTGATACAGATTTAAATTGTAGCTGTTATTACTATTTTTTAATACCATGTGACGTCCCCAAATGAGAATGAGGCCACTGCTGTGCCAGGCAGCATTCCCTCTAAGCTGCGCAGGTGTGCTCATGCATGGCTGTGCACGCCATGCAGCTTAGAGGGAACACTGGTGCCAGGCACTGAACACACAAAGGAGAGTTCCTGCTCCAAAAGGAATTTAAAAACTTGTCACCTCTGCACAATGGGGTTTTTTTTAGGTTAATAAAGCTACTTCTTGTTGTGCCAGCAACCTCATGTTGTATGTGAACCCTTATCAGGAGCCTCTGGACAAAGCAAACAGGTGAAGAACCAAAACATAGCTCTTCATGTGCTGCCCCTGGTGGAGCACACAGGAGTTTTAAAGCACTTTGGAATATCTCAGCCCCCTGCTCCTCCAGGACTCTGTTAAACAGTTTCCTCTCCCCGCGAGTTAAAATCCAAATGGTATAAGGAAAAATAAAGGTTAAACATGGGTATTTGGCCTGCATCCTAAAAAAAGGTTACAATCAGTTTTGTTATAGTAGTTTTGCACTCTTCTTTGATACCCAATATGAACAAGAATAAAACAAAAGCTTTCACAGGTAACCACCTTTCCTAGGGCCCTGTATTCACTGATTAGATTTTGAAAAGCAAGTAGATAAGATTCCTAGTCAATAGGAAATGGAAGCACTAGCTTTGAGTGGAAATCCATAAATGGATGGAATTATTTTGTGGCAACTCAGGGGTGGAGCAGAAGAGGCCTCCTGTTGTGAGCTCCTAGCCTCAGTAATGTTAGGCCAGCCAAGAACCAAAATCAACCAAAAAAAAGCCATCTTCTATGGTCTGTAGTACAACTCTCAAAACAGAAACAGTATCAGAATTCTAGGATTTCCCAGGTCCTGTAGATGAGTTCCTCATATCACATATTCTCAAGCAGAAGCTAAGTCATCAGAGAGGCTAAAAAATTAGCTGAGTTCAGGTTTGATCTCATTTTGTGGGAAGTACAAGGTCCTCTAGAGTCAGGCTACTCTGCATTTATGTGCCGCTAGAGCAGAGCTTTCCAAACTTTTTATGTCAGTGACACACTTTTTAGACATGCATCATTTCACGACACAGTAATTCAGTTCCGGGGGAGGGGCCAAGGGAAGCAGACGCAAGTAAGGGAGCTCCGCAGTGCCCTTCCGCAAAATTTTCTGCATGTCGCGCGACACACTTACACACTGCCGCTGACACACTAATGTGTTGCGGCACACAGTTTGGAAAGCTCTGCGCTAGAGGAATTTTTTTTTTCAGTGCAGAAGCACTGGTGAAACGAGAAGTACATATCCTTTAGTTTACTGTTGTTCTCAGCCCCATTCTGGAAGTGAATGATTTGTTCTTTGTGATAATTTGTTGGCTATTTCATTACTAGAATCTATAAAACCAGTTTCAGACAATAGGCAATAAGCAGTCAGTCAGCCAAAAGACTCAGGAATGTAAAGCAAGTTAAATGAGAGATTCTGGGCTGTTGGTTGCAGATGTTTATACCCATAAAAGATGATATATTCTGTCACCTGTATAGTAGGCTCGCACTGTTCCCATAAACAATGTATTTGAAAATATAGGCATGCTTTAATTTGAAAATGCAGAAGAGAAAATACTCACCCACCACTCATGATCCTCCTCACCATCAACAACAATAATGTCTCCCTCTGAAAATGTTAGTTCATCTGGGTTATCTGCTACACAGTTGTAAATTGCTTTTACTCGCTTGGGTTTAGTTTTTGACTGCAAGAAAAAAATATATACATGCAAGTAATACAATGCAACAAAAGAAAGGTAAGTAAAACAGACTTGGACCAGTTTAGACAGAAAATGAAGTAGTTGCCTAAAACGGTTACCCTTTGCAGGTACCCATTTAGACTGCTGTCTTGCACAAAAAGCTCTCACCCAAGTCTGGGTTTAAAGTGCTCCTCAGAGCAGCCCCAGGCAGTGCTCCATCTCACCAGCAGGTGGCACACATTTATCCATTACTAAGCTTAATTTCAGTAAAGCTTAATTAACTGTACTTAGAGCACTGGCTAAACATTAAAACTAACCCTCCCAGTCCTCAAAAGACAAATACATGCATTTCCTGTACAAACAATGACCAGTCGTCAGTGACTGGTCCAAAAGTAGGCAGTGAGCCTGTCACTGGCAGTACCACAAGGAGATATCTAGAAGAGTACTAACCATGTCCTTGTTTACTCTACTAGACCTGTTTTGCATCTTTCCAGTCCGGGACTCTCCAAAGTAATTCCCCACTAAGTCTTTTGAGGTCTGTGGAATATGGCCTGTGAGATGCTTTGTCACCTCTTGAGGGTGGGGAGAGAAAACTAGTGTTCCCAAGTCATATAATGGAAATACTACTTAAAGCATTTCTCCTGCTCCTCTCCCCACATGCAAAACACTCATCCGTAGGACAGTGCTGCTGCACAGTCCTTTAAAGTGCCACTTCAATGCCTTGGAACTGAACAGTATGCAGACGTTAGGCAGCTGCCCTGGGACTGGGTAGGAAGGAAAAAGCAAGGCAGAGGCTGCTATATGAAGAGAAGGGGCAGGTACCGGGCTGCTCCTTCCCTCCCTTCTTTAAGACCCCCTACTTTGGGGTCTTTAAGAGGAGGTTGGATAGATATCTGGCTGGTGTATTATGATCCCAGCACTTGTTCCTACCCAGGGCAGGGGGTCAGACTTGATTATCTGTTCAGGTCCCTTCCGACCCTAGAAACTCTGAAAGATCTCCCTGTGTTCTAATGACAAAAGTGTTTAGCTGCCTCCTAGCAGATGAAGCACTCCTTTGTAATCCATTTCTAGATCATGCTACTGGGCAACACTGCATAGTGATTCTAATGCAGTCTGTTCCCTCTCTGCTGAATCATCTTCCAGCACAAGGAGGAAGCTGAATGGGTGCAGGGATGCACCTAACAACCACCTAATTACTACCTTCAAAGAGGAGCAATTACACATGTTCTGCTCTTTGAAAGGTAGTGGAATTTTAATAGTCCTTTAGTCCTAGAAGACCCAAAGGCCCAGGGAAATGGGCCATGTACCTACAGTATAATTTCAAGCACATAAAACACACAGAATAAATGGGTAATAAAAACCTTTCTTCTCTAAAGAAGGTGCTATCGGCCACATGCATTTCAGAGATCGTCTTTGTACAACAGGAACTCTGTGCAGGCTTGGACCAGTTGCCCAGGCTTTCCCTATTGCTGGCTGGTCCCCAGAATCTTCTGACAGGGGAACATATGGCACAGAAGACTGGAGAGCAAGGCTGGATAGATGATTTAACCGAAGTGCTTTAGTTGAACTGATCTAGCTAAAGCTCTTTAGCTGAGAGGTCAGCGAAAGCCTCAGAGATAAGGTGCTTTAGTTTGACTGACTTAGTACCTCAGCAACTAAAGCACTTTCACTGCCGCTCAGGCTTCTATTTCCTCTCTGCGTCCTGGACTGTGAAGAAACTACCCTGCTGGTTTCCCAGAAAGCCAGACTTCCCTTGACTGAAATGCTGTTTCAGGAGTCAGATGTTTTATCCATGTTGTGTAAAATTAAAACTGAACCACGTGGCAAGCAAACTGTTCCCCTGTACTTACCTGGAGAAGTATATTCATACATATTTAAAGAGAACTGGGGGATAAAATAAGGTTATAGTTTGCATAGAAAACTCAGGCATTAGGAGCCATTTCAAACCTGACAAAAGAAGCTTAACTTAATGGCTCAATAGTTTCACACTTGAACCACAGGAACAACTGGTGAAGTGTTACTGTGATCCAGCAAAATCAGAGAGCGGCAATGAAACCCATCAGGACAGTTACCCACCTCAGATTCACCAGACAGATTCCAAAATATTCAAAGATGTACATAGTATGAGCCAGCAATCTATTTAATTAACTAGGAAAAAAAGGTCTAAAAAGAGAAAAGATGTATTCCTAATAGTGGAGTGTGACAAATTCCAGAGGTCATTGCAATTTCAGTAGGTCTGCAAGCCAGCCAGAAATGGAAAGATGAATACCTATCAGTGAGCACATCTGCATGCTTACTCTTTATAAGCATGATTAAAGGGAACTGCATGTGTTTTCTACTTATCACTATTAGTTACTTTTATTACAGCAGTTTTTAGGACACCTGCTGGACAGCCTGTGTCCCCTGTGTGAGCCCTGTACACATAGATTTAGAAATAGTCTCAGTCCTGTACAGTTTACAGTCTAAATAGGCATGACTAAAAAGATGGGAAGAAAAAAGAGATGCAGAGATGTGAAATGGGTCTCTCAGCAGGTCATTCCCAGAGTAAGGAACTGTACCCTAATGCTTCAGGCTGTAAGCTCACCATCTTTAGTACTGCAATTTATTTACCTTCAGAGATACTCATCCCATATATGAGTGAACACATGCACCAACACCAATACATGTTAACATCAATGTTCCTGAACTACAGAATGATACCACTTAATTTAGCTGCATGGAAGGTTATTACTACACATATGTGTATTTGTAAAAATAAATACACTCCCAATGTTTTTGACTACTGAGGTTTCAAAATGGAATGGAATGTGTGCAATGACAGTAATACTGCAGTTCACTGGGCAGAATCAACAAAATAAATCAAGTCATGGTATTTTATAAATGGCAAAACATTTCTATCATTATATCTGCAATTGTTTCTACTTTAAATCAGATATAAACCAATCAGGAAATTCAGAAAAGGCAACATTTCAGAAATACCTATTCCAAAATGTGCATATTTAATGAAACAACAATGGCTGAGTCTTAATTACAGTTCAGTTTTATAGCTTGTTTTTACTTCAATATATATGGGAAGTTGTATCAAGATTTCCATTATTCACTGTCCAATGTAACTTTTTAACCTGACCTAGACCTGTCTCCTACTTACTAGTTGCGATTTCCTTGGCATTGGTGCTGGTGGTTGGATCTGTGTCAAAGTGTTAGCTGCAGAACCAGTTTGTGGTACAGGAGCTTCAGATACACAGGTAGATTCTCCTGTTCAAAGCAAGGAAAACAATTTAAAGTGGGACATGTTTGTATAGATAGATAGATATAGATTTGCAGTCAAGAGGAAGTATAGAAGTGTCTTCATATATAGACATTTCTATACTTCCTCTTGACTGCAAAACAAGGTGAATGTCCTCTGATAGCCTCATGTTCCTCACTCAAGGGAATTTTTCTGTTTACTCTATTGAGGCCAGGAATCCCACCCCTAAGCCTAGCAAAGAGATACAGATCTGGATAAGACTTTGCAGGCAGTAAAGCGAACACATCGGTGTGAGATCCTTTTTATATATGGCAACCATCATATTCTTAAAACCAGTCCATTCTTGCTATAAAAAAAATTGCCCTTTGTCTCCCTCAATTTTTCCATTATAGGTGCTTCACCCTAATTCCTGAACTGATTTTCTGTCCATCCTTCCCTATGTACAGCAACTCCTAAAGACTGTTAGTTAAAAGCTTCAGCAGTACAGTGATGGAAATGAGGGAAATACCCAGCCAGAGACAGATTAGATAATCAGCAGAATTAAACACTTCTCCATGTCCTCTCCTCATTCACTTTAGAGTGCCATCTTTTTATAACTTGCCTACATTGAAAGAAAAGGATCACACATTGTGATATGCTCACTTTACTACCTGCAAAGCTGTATCCAGATCTGTACCCTTTTACTAGGCCTAGGGGTGGGATTCTTGGCCTCAACGGAGTAAACAGAAAAATCCCCTTGAGTGAGGAACATGAGGCGATCAGAGGACATTCCCCTTGCTTTGCAGTCAAGAGGACGAATAGAAGAAGTGTCTTCATGACAATGAATGAACAAATATATACATTTAATATTTATACAGGTAATAGAAAGAGAAATTCCATCATTACCACACACAGAAAGCCTTTACCTTGCTCTGGGTGTCTTATTAAGATTAAATTACTACAATTAAATTACTTGCCCAGAAGGAAAAATATGGTTCGGGAGGTACAACATCAGTTTGAAATTCAGTAGGTTTAAAGGATGAGTCAGAAATGGTGCTACATGATTTCAAGGCAATGTTTTTTCTAATTATGTTTTCTGATCCCTTCACAATGTTTCTCTCCCCACCCTTCTTTTACAAACAACCCACACACACAACAAAGGAAACCGAGCACAAGCCTTCTTTCTGCAAGTTCCTCTGCATAGGTAGGCAGCTGTACAGCCCCAATGACCTCAACTTGGCCCAGAAGGCTGATCAGCTAGAATCAGGGACTCAACTAAAACAGCTAAAGTGACATGAAGCACCTACAAGAAACAAACTAATAAAACTGAAGACAGTTACTTGTTCCTGCCTCTAGTTTAGTCCAGTTACATTGAATGTAGAAATTATAACAATAGTACACTAAGAAAAAATAAATCAAATGCCTCCAAACTGAACTTACCAGACTGTTGCAGAGTTCCAGGTCCTCTAGGCTGCCCTTTGTTAGTTAAGGGCGATGACTTGTCAGCCCTGTTTAGAAGAAATTAAACATTCATCTATTTAGAAAATAAATCAGAACTTTAAAAGTTCTATAGATAGTAAATATATGTTAAAACTATTTTCCAAGTTTAAATAAGACTCCTAGTCTTCCTTTATTGTGCTCTTAGAAACACAGTAACAGTCATGTTGCTGTAAAAACTACTGTTTTGCTATTTGTGAATAGCAAATTTGTGAGATTTGTGAGACTAAATCAATAGATCTATATCACTAGTCCATCTGAGCAGTTAATACAATGGAAAAGGACCACAGAAATTCAGTGGTTCATGAACTAAATACTAAAATGGCATCACTTACCCAGAAGAAGGCTTTTTTTGAGAGATTCTGTTGGGAGGTTGTGGAGGCAGTGGTGGTGGTATAGGCTTAGCTTGTGGAACAGCTTGTACTTGTTTTGACTGATGATTTAAAGCTTCTATAACACTGGCTGTCTTTGCAACTGGAGGTGGTGGTGCTGGGGAGATCATATCTATAAAAAAAGCAAGATGGAAAGGTGGTGGAATTAAACTTTTCTTCTTATTTATTCTTACTTATTCAATTTTTATTCTTAGAATCTCAACTATTTCTTTGTTATATGATTTATTTCCAAGCAAAGTAGTACTTTACTAATCGTAATTTATAAAAAAAACATTATAACATCCAATGGCAGTGACTCTTCCTTTGCACAATAAGAACCTTTCTCTAGAGGTCAGGACCAGAAGCAGCTCCCAAGCACAGGGGGTTGCAATTGCAACCTTTAGGAGCAATGGGTTGAATTAATGCAGCTTGGTCTGTCACTTGCAACCTACTTCCCTTGAGGCCAAATGCCACTGATTTCCCTCCCCTCCCTTCCTCCCCCTCCCACCAAATTGTCCTTGGACCAAGCTGCCAATTGGCAACTCCCAAGTTGCCACTGGCATCCCAGCTTCATAGGTTACAAGTCACTGTTTGACAGGCCAGCACAGGTCCCAACCCTTGCTCTAGCACTTGCTTCGAGGTAAACACTCAGTGTCCCAGCCTTTTCTCTAGAAGTAGTTCTGAATTACTTTTGGTCAGGCCCATACTTAATCTCTAGTCCATCCAAAGGATGTCACTTTGCATGTGAAATTTAAGATCAACTGCCTTACTGTTGTAATAACTGATCTTGCAAGTGCTTTGCTAGATAGAGATGAATTTAACACATTTATTTTCCCTGCTGAATCAAAGACTTACAGTTTGTGTTTTACGGAAATTCAGTTAAGTGAGCAATATTCCATGGGAAGTACTTGAAAGAGGAACTCCTTTGAGGACATTTAATTGTAGCATGATTTTAGAGAAGACTTTTAGAACAAGATTAGGGAAATACAGCCAGAGGCTGGCAAACTGTTATACTACATCACCCCCAACTTTTCACATCACTGTCTGTATTCCTAAAACTAGTGAAAATTAAGTATATTGTGGAGGTGACACATTGAGAGGTATAGCACCAACATTATTTTGAACACTTCTTTTTTTAAAACCTCTCATTAAAGGGAAGGCAAGATGAATAATTAAAACTCTATTTAGAAAACTCGTAACAGAAAGAATTTCCTGTTAAACTGCACTATACCAGCCAGTCCCCTCTGGAATATTAGATAAGACCATTCATACAATAAAATAAAAATTGCTGGATAAGTGACTATAGGCCAGAGTTAAAAATCACCAAAAGGAGAAACATGAGGTGTGAAAAAGGAAAAAGGTGGCCAACCATGATTAGGAGAGAAAAAAAGAGGAAAGTGAGAACATACTTGTAGACGTTACACGCAATGGTGGCACAGGGGGATGAATAGCTGGTGGATCTGAGGAAGATCTCTGCCTGCTTATACTTTCCACTCCTAATGAATTAGTCTTCCACATTGTGTTAGAAGAAGTTGTCTGAACACCACTGCCAAGAACTGAAGGCTGAACTAAAAGGAGAGAATTCTTTATTATTATTATTACTGCATAGATACAGGAAGTGTTAAGTGTCACACCTGCCTTTTTAAAAATGGCATCCCTGTATAGTACAGGAAACCCTCATTATTCGCGGGTTTGGCATTCGCAGTTTCAAATATTCACGAATGCCGAACCCGCATTTTAAATATACTTTATACACTTACAGGAGCTCCTTGGGAGCTCCATGCTTGCTGCTGCTGGGCTCCTCCTGCAGCGCTCCCGCTGCTGCCACTGCCAGAGCCTTGCCCCCCACCAGCTGCTCAGGGTATGAACGCAGTGCCTTATTCATGGATTTTGCCATTTGCGGGGGATACAAGAACATATCCCCCACGAATGGCGAGGGTCGCCTGTATATAAACTGACAGAAATCACTACCTTCTTGGAAGACTATAAAAAGATAAATCACAGTGGACTGAAAGCAACAGAAGTTTCTGATTAAAGCATCCCTACTATCAGGGTTTGAATTACAGGGGATCTCGGGGGATTTGAAAATCAAAACGCCGGGGGGGGGGGGGGGTCTGTGATTGGGGGGGGGGGGGGGGTCTCCAATTTTATTAGGGCACTGAGATGGGCAGCCTAATTTTTTTTTTTTTTTTTTGCAGACCCCACCCCATCAAGAGTCAAAATGTAATTTGAACCCTGCCTACTATTTAGCTATGTAAACATGTGTCTCAGATCAGCATTACAAAATATGGTAATTTTAAAATCTGTTTCACAGCTCATGAATCTGAGGCTAGCTAGCAGTAATAAGGGCAGGAATTTATCCACAGGAAATCAGAAATTGAATTGTATGAACATCACTGACTCCTGACTAACAGCTCTATTGGTCTCCAAAAACTACAAGGGACAGACTCCAGCTCATGTGAAGGTTCGTGGACATCACTGACTCAAAAGGGTAACATCAGTTTTGACTTTGACCTTCCATAAAAGTGCAATTCTGAGTTTCACCCAAAGTAGGAGCAACAATTACAACACCTACATATATAGCATTGCTTTTGCATTTTAGAAGCAACTCTTAAACCATAATTTACTAAATTACCACATTCTAAGTCTCAAGAGCTTTCTCCCCATGTCACTACAAAACATTGTAAATTCTGTTTCTGTGAACAAACAATCAGGCTACTGGCATATCATTTTTGCCTACTCATAATGTGTGATTACCATATTAAGGAAAGATGAAAAATATAGTAAATATGAAGTAGGTAAAAGCATCAGTTTTCATGGAGCGTAGGCACAGAGGGATTAGAAGATTTGAAGAGCATTCTAAAATTAGGAGTATAATAATAATAACAATAACAGCAGCTAATAAGAAACAAGATCAGTAATAATTCGAAACATGTTCAACTAGACGAGCAAAATAAAAGAGGCTAATGAAACCAACTGCTAATATATTTTTATTTTAACCCAGGAGGAATGTTTTCCTGGCATAAGCAATATTGCACTATTACCTAACAGTTTTAGGTGGGGGTGAGGGCAAGGAAAAAAAAATTATGTTGGTCATTTAATTAAGTGGCAATGGGTAAAATGCTATTGGTGCTCAGGAACAAAATTTGGTCCAAGAACAAAATCGTTACTTTAATTTACCAGTCACGTCCACTGTTTAGTCGAAGTGTATTCCAAACTGGGTGCTCCCATTCCTATAGTATCTTACCATCCTTTTTAAGAAATGCAAAATTATGCAACCCTGAGCTAGCTCATACCACAGCTGCACAATTTGCCAGACCAGATAAAACCCATACTATATCAAGTTTCATAATAGCTAGGGTCAGGAGGGACCTGAACAGATCATCTAGCCTGACCCCCTGCCACAGGCAGGAATGAATGCTGGGTTCACAAGACCCCAGACAGGTGATCATCCAACCTCAAGTCTAGAGTACAAGTCTTGTACTCTAACTTTGGTAACACCCTTACACTTCCAAAAAAGGGCCAGAAACCATTCCTGTATCCAGTCAGTTATGTACTTTATGCTATCTTATTGTTTATCTAGCTGTTAATAAAGTCAAATCCCAAGAAAAGGACAGTTTCCCCTACAGAGGGCAAGCTGACTCTTACAGGACAGATAAGTCTTCTACACACATCCCAACACAACAAGTCCAAACTTCTGTAGGATAAAAGGCCTTACATATGTGTAACAGTATTTACTGGCATTTATATGTTTTAAATATATTGGTATTCAGGAAAGATGCCAGATTGCTGAAGGCATAAAAGACATAGATTCTTATTCACCAAACAAGTGCAATATATAAAGATAGGCACTGAAAAATTTCTCCAGGTTGTCGCATCATCATGATCTATATCTTAAAGTAAGAGGGAAGTCCAGCCTTGGCTGTAATAGTAGCTCTTGTAATAAAAGTATCTGTATTACTTACAAGCCCTATGAACAGGGCTGAGGCCTATTAATTTTGCTCAGACCTTTGGAAAAAGGGAATGAGCAAGGATCCGGGTTTTCTGTTTCCCATGGAAAAACGGAGACAACTGCAGATTTTACCCTTTACCAGAGGCAAACGTGGATTTCTCATTTTACAGGACAAACCCATGGATTTTGCAGTTTTGCAAACAGCTCTCTGTAGGCTGACAGAGTTCCAGCCTGCAAGAGTGGGAGGGGGTGGGAGGAGGGTGGCCAGGCAGGGCGCACCATGTGCACGTATATGCACATGAAAAAGCAGCTCCCATGGAGGGGGAGGGAGGGGGGGAGGGGGCTGAGGCTGCTGCTCAGCCAAACAGTGCATGGGGCTTGGGGCTGCAATGCACAGCCGCAGGGCCCTGGTGGGGAGCAGGATGGGACCACGAATGGTTCATCTGTGGAGGCCCCAGGAGATGGCAGCAGGGCAGGAGCCCAAGCCCACAGCAGGCAGCCTGTGCCTGCCCCCACCCCATGCACAACTCTGGGGGGCACAGGTCCCCGCTGCCCCCCAGGAATGCATGCAGCAGTGAGGAGTTGGGCTCTGCTCACTTCAGCAGCCACTGCCACTTCCTGCCAAGGGCAGGGGAGTCATGGGGCACCAGCAGGGCCAAGGAGGAACTGGGGGGGAGGGGGCGGGGAAGTGAGAGGCCTTTCATTTTAATCACAGGCTTTGGGGTTTTTATCAGGGAACTTGCAATATTTTATCAGAGACCTTGCAGTTTTTGGTTTTCTTTTATCAGGGAAAGCCAGAATCCCTGATAACGAGGTATTGATACAGTTTTAAGTTTTGGCCAGTTACCAACTCCCTCAACCACCCAATTACCCAAATTGTTGTACTATTTATATTTTACTTTCATTTCAACACTTCCTAGGACAGATCTTAGAAAAGTCTCTGCAAGGTTATCACTGTTAAACTTCCTTCACATTATGCAGCATGCTTTTCCTCTGTCCAGGCATTTTTAAGAAGAAATATTACTACATACGCTAGATACTTAAAGAATTTCAAAACTGATTAAAATTACCTGGGAGATGGAAACCTTCATGAAGTAAACGTAATGAAAAATGGCACATGCAGAAGGCTCTTTCTGTTCTAAATCACCCGATCTGTTACTCACTTCTTATAAGTGCGTGTGAGCTTCATCAATTGTTTGTAGACATGTATAGCAGAATAGTTCTGCATGTATAGCAGTTCTGTATAGCAGAAGCACAATGCGGAATACTTTCTTCCTTCACTACCATGTACAATGAAAATCAAGCTTGGAATATGTTCTGCAGATTCACCCCAAATGTAAAAGTCATCAAAAAATAGCTCTAATACCTACCTGTGCAACGGAACTGTAAAACAAATCTTCAAAATGTAAGAAAAAATATTATGATCCCATTTCTTCTAAAATACTATGATATTTTCCAGCGTTAGTACCTTTGCCAATATTCCTTGGAGGTAGGGGAGGTGCGCTTGTTGTAACAGGTACCGCAGGCTGAATGGGAGGTGGACTACCACTGAGTATTGCTCCATAGGTTTCATTCTGTAATATACTAGGCATAAAACCTCTTTGTTTATCCTTAGCAATATTTGCTGCATCTCTTGCCAAAGATGCTACATTAGGCTGAAGTTGGTTTGATCCCAGCTGATAGAAACTGACAGGCCTGTCTTCTCTCCGATTAGGGCTGGGTTGCTAAAAACAACAAAAGATTACATGCTGATATTATACTACTTGCTTTAAATATATTTAGCAGGACTAACTACCACATGCTAGTGAGAAGTTTATAACTATTACATCTTGAAAGATATTGCACTTATGTCACCACCACCCCTGACCAACCTACCCAGTAAAGCCACATTCCCCTCTTGCAGTTTTAAAGGAACAAAACTCTTGTGCACTGATTTTTGTGTCTGTGTTTAATTTTAACAAAATTGTCTCATTTAATTCACTCCACTCTGCAATGCTTTTAAAAAGCAGCTTAATACTTCCTTCCTTAATCTCTTGTATTTTTGGTCCTATCTTTGCTCCAATAGTGTTCCCCTTACTTCTTCTATTGCATCTGATAGCACACCTTCCTGCATTTTTTCTGGTGTCATTTTGTTCTCATCATAATCACCACCACCTGTTTACTATTTGAATTATGGTAACACAAAGGTGCCCCCAGCTGAAATTGGGATCCCACTGTGCTAGACTCCATACAAACACATAGTAAGAGAGACTCCCTACCACAAGTAATTACAATCTAAACAGACAAGACTAAAAAAGAATGAGCAAAAACAAATGTGCAGAGAGAATAAGATTTACCCAAAGTCATATAGTGAGTCAGTAATGTAGCTCTCCTCCGGCTGATTCCAGCATCCAGGCCCAATACCTAACAGCCAGAAAGCTAAAGCTACTAGATAGAGACAGATGTTTAAGGGGAGTTGTTTTATTGACCAGGGGCAGCAACTAGCTGAAAAGACACTGCCTCATACTACAAACTACTAAGAGCCTTGCGAGGCTGGTCTCACTGAACTTTGTTCCATCTTTCATATCAGACACCTTGTAGTAAAATTAATGCTAAGTCAAAAGCTCCTCAGGCTTTAATGGGTAGCAGGAAGGAAAAGCAGTAATCGTTCTCAGTCTCCTGGCTACTGAGAGGCTTCTTATCTAGCCTTTGTTTTCAATTTGCCCACTAAGATAAAGGTCACCTACAACTACTAAAATTTTTACCAAACAGCACTGCACAACTGATCAGACTTCTTTGCAGAAGCAGCACTATTTACAAGACTTTGAACTCTTTTTACTCTTGGCTTCTTATGAGTACTGAGAAGCGATAGCTGAGACGCATAAGATTTCTGCCACTGTCTGCAAGTGAGCACAAGGGGCACATAAACAATCCCTCACTTTTGCCAGTTGCCATGGCCTTTTCCTAGAGTGTGTGCCACACTGTGACAGCACAGCTGCTGCAACAGGGAACTAGTAGAGGCTTGTAGCTATGTATGTTCTGGTAGCTGGGTGGTGATTACTGGTGTCTGCCACCAGAGGCAGGTAAGTGGGGACTAGGCCTCCATAGAAGAACTGCATTAACTTACACTCATTTCACATATGGGAGGTTACCTTGGCAATCATATGGACTAGATTTATTTTGTAAAAAAAAGTTTAAAGCACTTCTAGAAAGCTCCAAGTCCTAATGGTCAGAATTTTAATTTAGAAAAGCTTAATTCCATTTAAAAGCGTTTTGCCTGAAAACAGATGCAGATTTCAAGCTGTTCTTTCTTCTTTGTCAGACTACAAAGCAACTGTATACACTGAGTTTTAAATTTAGATTGCATTTCAAACAAAAAATGATTGCGCTTATGCATTTGCTATGATGCAGGAGCATCATGGTCAGATTTCGACACAGAATCCTGGTCTAAATCTGAATCCTCGTCTGAATTTAAAGAAATATCTGTGGGACTGATCAGCCTAATAAGCCCAATGAAAAATGTGCTCCTACACAACAAATATGTTTTTGAAAATGGGTTGGTAAAATTTTAACAATGGTCCATGGTAAGTATATGAGCCCAAGCCTCTCATCAGCTTACTAAGAGACAAACCAGTTCAGTTCAGGGACATGATTGATGGACAGCTGGGACAATGTTGCTCAGCCCATGCACACAAGCAAAAGTGCCCCATTTAGTTTACTCTGAGTCTTGCAGAATGTCATCTGTTTGCTATATAAACTTCAGCATTATTTTTCTCATTGCAGTGATAATCATTGTAATTATTGTGCTCTAATAATTATAATAGATACAGTTGAGGATTCGTATGCCCAGCACATGACCAAATTGTATTCGTAACATTCCATAGCTCAGAAAATACAAATGTGCCTTTAGAAATAAGGTTACACAGCTGGTGAACTGTGGGTGTGAATGTTAGAGTGTCATTTAGAGCATTAGTATTTATGCTAAATACACATTTATACCAATAGTACAGAGAACAAGCGAGCTATTTTCCTCAGAATATATCCTATGATTAGACTGAATTAGTCAAATATGACTATCAATGCACAGCACCCTGACTGGTTATAAAACAGTTATAAAAGTCATTAATGGAAGCCAATTATAATAAGCCACACCTTCACTTACTCTGAAACCTTCTCCTTTCTATTATTTTATATTCACTTATGACACACTTCTCAACTTTAAAAAACAAAATTTCGGAAGCGACCCTTATGATCAGTAATTGGAAAAACTATTTGACTTCTTTACAGATAACTCCATCTGACAGCTTGTCATTTATAAACAGAATTCTGACATGGCCCATGGCAAACCTAACTGCAACAATATTCAGCAGCACAGTCAATGTACTTACAGACATTACTCTGTGATTAATAGTCCTTAATCTTCTTTCAAAAGTCCCAGTAGTATAAGCCTATTAATAGTGGGCAGTGAAATACTAGTTTTATTATTTTAGCCTCACTGCAGAGTACCAAATGATTTCCTCAGAGGTGGAGCTGAAGTCCAGCCAAAAAACAGAAGAGGTGACAACTGAAAAACATGGTACCAAGGCCAAGTGGCACCAGAGCTACAAGGATAAATGGAACAAGAAAAAACCAGGGTATTGATTATGGCAGAAATGCCTGAATACATCAAATATAAATCATAATGTACCAGGCTAGCAGCAAGGTTTGCGTAAGTAAAAAGATAAGTCTATGTAGCAACACGAATCTGACTACCATGCTGCTCCATTCCTACACAGTTCTTTTCACTGGACACTCTCAATGCTCTTTGTACAAAGGAGAGCAATGGAGTCCAGGCGTATTAAACTTATTTGTCCCCACAGAACAGCAGAGCCCACGGACCCTTCCCTTCTCCCCAGCATACCAGATCCAGTAATAGGTTCGGCCAGTTGGAATCCAAGCTACAGAATCCAAGCTACATGTAGCTTGGATCCTAGACCTGCCAGAACAGGCGCTGCATGTGGTGCAGTCCAGCTGAGGCCTGTAGCAGACATCACAGGCCAACCAGAGCAGGCGCCATGTTGCATGCAGTGCCTGCCCTGGCTGTACTGTGCCACATGCAGTGCCTGCTCTGGGAAGGACCTGCGCTGCATGCGGTGCTTGCAGGCTCTGCATGCAGCACAGTTCTCAGACTGGCTGGAGCAGTCACCATGCGGTATATACATCCCCAGAGCAGGCACCATATGGGGTGCAGTATAATCTAGGAGGGCACTGCATGTGGCGCTTCTGGGATCCACTCTACATGTCTCCCTACTGGACTGCGCTGAACAGGGCGCCTGTTCCAGCTGCTCTGGGATTTGCGCCACATGTGCCTGCTCATGCAGTATAAGTCCTGGAGCAGCCAAGGCAGGTGTCATGCCTGTTCCAGGCCCTGCTCATAGGGCTGACTTGGCACACGCCATGATCTGTGTGGGTCTGCTTAAACCTAGGGACAGCACCAGGGGCCAGCTCGCAGGGCTACACAGGCTGTATGCTTGACACTCCTGAAAAAGTCATTGTATGTATTATGATAAAAAATTACACCTAAGGCTACATAATGACAAGGGCATGCTGTGAAACTTTACCAAGAATTGGTAAAGAACAGGAGCAAATAACCTAGGTATCCCCAGTTCTTAGTTCATTCTTATTCCTGAAAATATGCAAGCAGAAACTCAAGGGAAACATTCAGTAAACAGCATTTATTCACTGAAGAGGGATGACACCCCACTTAATGGCACTCTACTGCTTTCAAATGTCAGAATACCATAAGTGACAGAGAAGTTCCATGTCTCTTGTGCCAAGGGAGTGAAAATCCAAGAATAAGAATCCTATGCAGACAGTATCTTTATAGACATGATCTTCCAGGGAAGGAAATGGATATTTATTCCAGAACATTCTTAGTGAACACAGTGGGAGCTTGATGCCTAAATACTTTTGAGGATCTGAGCTTTAAGTCCTAAATGCTCCGAAATCTTAAAGGTCCTTAAAGCACATAGCATACAGATTAACACCTAGTGGAAGTTTCACAGTTACTGAGGTACCTAACAGGTTTTTGGCGTTTCAACAAGAGTTGAATCACTGGGAACTTCAAAATCTCCTTGAAGTGTCTGTCTCCGCCTGTAGATGCTTAAAAATATCTTTAAAAATCTGACCCTAACTGGCTAAGTAATTTCTGAAAACAAGATTCAGTCTCTTATGCCATTAAGATACTTTTTACCTAAAAATGTCACCCATTCCATCTTCTAAGCTTCTAGTAAATACAATATTCCCTTTACTGAGGGGATTCAGAACCAAAAAACCCCAATCCTGCAAAGATGGATGAACATGGCAAATTTAATGCACAGGATTAGTTCCATTGAAGTGAAAACTCTACTTAAGTTATAGCAAAATTGAAGCTACTGACTTCACAGAGTGTAAAGATTCTGTGATTAATTGCTTGCATTTTGTGGAGGCACCTTTTTTGCCTTTTATATTGGCTTCTGCTTTCTGTCCTGGATATATAAACTCTTGATCTAGTGAAATAAATTAGATAGGGCAAGGATTCAATTACTAAAATAACAAATTTGGGCAAAGAAAGAATCTACAAATGGTTCAGTAGCCCTCATTCACACCTTAAAGACAACATCTGCTCCCAAAAGCAAACTCAAAAACCACAGGGGGATGGGGAAGCGAGGGAGAGAAAGAGGAATGAACTATAATTCAGGGAATTAGCTGGAAATGCAATTTCATTTTATTATTCATTTTAATTTTGTAGTATTCTGCATCCTACTAGGCAGTAAAAGTGACTATATAGTATCAGACACAAACCTGTAATTTTTCATCCACATCATCATCGCTTTCATCCAGATCTTCATGGAGTAACCGCCATTCATATTCTACATGCACATGAGAATTAAATCTTCCAGATAATGCTTGTGTAAGCTAAAGAAACAAAGATTTTTTAACAACAATGTCATGAACAGCAATTATGAATAATTAAAATACCATTTCTTCAAGGGTATGGAAAAAAAGTTCTCTCTTTTTTAAGTGCAAAGATCATTTGTCTCCCAATATAAAATGTCAGGTATTCAGAAAGTTCCTGAAGATAGGCTTGAACAGTAGTGAAGTCTTCTGTTTAGTTATAGAGCAAGTAAACCAAAGGCAAATTGCCATTTCACTACCCACCAGCACTCATTAATTATATTACAAAGGGAACCAGTCAAGTGAAAGGATAATTCGGGTCTCATTTCCTTCAATCACTAGCCTGGCTACTTTGATAGCCAAATCAAGGAAGTTAACCACATTAGAAGATTTGAAATGATGGACACCTTGCCAAGGTGGTATTGGACTGCAACAACTCATTTCCCCTAAGTCACTAGCTCTACAGCCCTGATCCATAACGTTACTTGGGCACCCACTTACAAACAGATTTCTATGGAATTTAGGAATCTAACTCCTATTTAGTTACTTGATATCTTTCTAAACCAGGTTTTACCAGCCTATGCAAGATTCAAAGTGGTGGCAGAGGACAAGATCTACATATGATATTACCCATCCCTAAGCCATCCAAATTCCATAGAGGCGCACAAGGTATCCAAAATTTCTTTAAAAAGAAATGCAGATTTTACTTAAGACTATATAATTCATTAGTCTTTCTTGCCAGAATTCTATTTAAAAAATATTCAGTATACTCACAGAATATACAGCTGTACACTATTAAAAATTCAGAAATAATTCTGTTTATTAAAAGCCTACCAACAGTAAAAAACTTACCAGCTCTTCACAGTGTGTATGTTTTAAGCGTTTAGCTATATCAGGTGGCGTCTCTCCAGATTCATTGGCTACATATTTCAGTAAGAAAAGAAAGTTATGCTGTTATGTGTCATAAGTGACATACACATTAAAGACGAGGAAAACCTGCAATTACGTAATGCATAAACTAAATGAAGTTATTCCTACAAATGGTCTTTTTTCTTCAGGTTAATCTCCTCACATGGCAATAACTTGCTATGCCTCGTATTAAAATGTTCCAGTTTCCAGAAAGCTCCATTATATATACACACAGCTAAAGAAGATCAGATAAATATGAGAAAATTTTAACTAGCTGGTGTTTTAAACAATTGTTTAAAATACACATAAACCTTTATTTAAACTTGAATCAAGCAAAATCAGTATTTTCATAATTTTGAAAAGAAAAGGGATAAAATACACTGGGGTATGCTAACATGATATAAGGAAAATGTAGACATTGCATGATTACATTTATCGCTGTTACACTTTGTCAGAGACCATCTACAAGCAGTAGTATAAATATAACATGGAAGCAGACATAAACCTTTTACCTATTTCAATAGAAGCCTTCCCTCTTAGCAGCAGTTTGAGGCACTCAACATTATCAGTTAAACAGCAGTAGTGCAGAGCAGTGCTACCTTTACAAGTCTGCTTATCAAGGTTGCCGCTGTTGGTGAAAAAAAAGGTTGGTTACAATTACATGTCCAACCACATGCTAATATGCCTCTCACAGCAGAGATGCTTAGGTAACTAGATTTTTAAAAGCAGACTTTTAAGTTAAAACAGAAATTGAAATGACCCTATCTTCTAATAAACAGCATGCCCTGGAATAAGATGCACATCTTTTTTTTGAAAGGCAGAATGAAGAAAATAAGATCTTGTCTTCTAGTCCAAGGGGTTGGACTAGATCAGGGGTGGGCAAAATGCGGCCCACGGGCCAGATGCGGTCCGCCAGGCCATTCTATCTAGCCCGCGGGACCCCTAAAAACTTTAGAAAATTAATATTTATCTGTCCCTGGCTGCCTGTCATGCAGCTCTCAATGGCTTGCCAAAACTCAGTAAGCGGCCCTCTGCCCGAAATAATTGCCCACCCCTGGACTAGATGACCTCGTATGATCTCTTCCAGCCCTGTTTTCTATGAGTCTATGAACTGAGTAGCAGGGAGCTGAGCCTGCTCATTGTTCTGCTCTCTCTGGATCATGTGCAGAGTTACTTTTGCTTTCACATAACAAGCTTAAGCAGCATATGCTGCAAAAGGTATACTGTTACCATATGCCCTTGCTTATAATGTGTACCCCAATTTCTAGCAGTTGGCTTGTGGAATCAGAAAAAATAAATGCCTTAAACTTTAATCATATGAGTTATAAGATGACATAACCGCTTTGTGGGGAATTGCTGGCTCTGTACAGTAGAAGAGATAAGGGAAAGTGTTTGTTCTTTGTAACTCCTCTGCAACTGCTTCGCTCACCGCTGCCTTGAAGATAGCAAAAAGAATGTACAACTGATTTCCAGGCGCAGGCAGGGAGTGTTATTTCTCCCTTTGTCTCCTCCATAGTTCTCATCCTGATAACAGCAAAGAAGTAATGAAGTAATGTTTATAGCTGCTTTTCTAGCTAATTCCACTATATGATCACATGAGTTGTAAGCGACTGTTAAAAAGTATATAAGCCTCCTAATTTTGCTCTTGTGGGGGAACCTCTTCCAAGTGCTTGGGAGATCCATGTCACTTTGGAATCCCCCTACAGCTGTAGTTTCTTTTGAATAAAAGCTTCTGCTGACCTGACCCAACAGTATGCTGCGTGTGTTTCCACGACAGGCTGGTGGAAAAAAAAGGTGCATGTCCAACTCAAGAAAATATGGTAATTCTTGATACAACATAGTGTTAAGCAGCATTTAAATAACTTACAGTAAACTTACCTATTTTGTACTAAAAAGTCAACGATATGAAGAGAAGTACGATCAACCGATCTAACCGCAAGGTGAAGTGCAGTTTCATCTTGCTCCTAAGATGAAACATACATAAGAGCAATTGTTTTTTCTTTTTTTTAATGCCAGATAACAAAAATATATTGGGGAATTGATTACAAATATTACATTTTACTAGTACACACACACACGCACATGCACACACGCATGCAGAATAAAATTCAGGAATATTATCACCATATTAACTCACATACCACAAGCCTGCAAAGCCATGTACCTTGTTTTGGGAAGACAGAATGAAGAGGGGAAAAAACAAAACAAAACAAAAAACTTTCCTGACCAAGGATTGGCACCCTACAGTCCATGGGCTAGATTCAGGTCTGTAAAGCCACTGGATTCAGCCCATGCATGTGGGGTTTCCGCAACATTTGGGGGTAGGGTCTCTGGCTGCAGACACTCTCCCTGTACTGCCACAGAGACACGCACTGGCTGTGGGTATGTCCTAGGACCCACCTGCTTACCCACCTCTGACCTGATGTGGGTCATTCCAGCCTGCATCTGGAAAAAGTTGCTAATCACAGCTCTAAAATTCTTAATTGCCAGAGTACATGCTCACCAAGGCTGAATGCTAGCCAAATACAGGAGGGGCAAAATCCACTCCTCAAATCCCCCTCTAGCTGCAGCTCCACAGACAAAGTTTTAAACCCATGTCATAGCCACTGCCAAACTGGTCTTTGCAGTTCAGCCAAAAGTGACCGTCAATTCAGCAGCAGCTGTGAGAATTAAATATTCAACTGTGGAGATGCAGCTAGCAACGTAAGTGATGCTGAGTGGCTCCGTTCCTCCTGCCTGAGACTAGGAAGGGAGTAGAGTCCCTGACAGCCATTCCAGTGCCCCCATGCCTCCACTATGGCACAGAAATCAGCCTCATTATTTAAAATATCCACCCCAATTTTGCAGGGCTATTTAATGAGAAACAGATGACTGTGGTGTAAATTAAATGTGTTACTGCTGTGTCACCAAAATGGCACATTCCCCCTAAAGGTCCTACTATAATCCCCTACTCCATCCTGTTCGAGTTAAGCTGTACAGAAAATGTGGGATCTAGTTTCCTTTCATACCACTTTAACACTGGAATCACTTCACAAGCATCAAGGCTGTTTCTCTTGATTTATGTCTATGACACTGAGTCATGACACTTGACTACTATCTTCAAATTCCTGGGCTTACTTAAGAGTGCTCTTTTCCATAAGGACATTTATATTTACCATGTTTTGCCTTCACAACATTGTGCACGGTTCCTTTTAAACCAGTGATTCTTAACCAGGGTCCCATGGTACTCACTGGTGTTGCCAGATATTCTGAAAGGCACTGCAATGTGTGAGGGATAAACTTGTCCCTGCCTGGCTGATCCCCCACCCACTGCCTGGCTCCTCTGCAAGGAGGTAAGCACTGTAATATCTAGTTTTTGAACTTGGGTGCTGCTGAATTCACAAACGTTATAGAGGGGTGCCTCAAGTCCACAAAGATTGAGAAATGCTGCTTTAAATCTATAACCACCTTTAACTATGTTATACTAAGGTGCCAATTTCTTAAAGCTTAAGAGACTTAATATGCATACAGGACTGCAAAACTATGCTAAGTAAATACAACATCAGTTTTCTAAGTTATATCTCAAGTTGACCAGTCCACCTCTCCTCTGCAAGAACTAAATGGACCTTACAGTACATGTTCAGGAGTTCAACTGTCTGATGAAAAAGCTTGGACTTAACCATGCAATTAAGTGTTTTGATAACTGAGGTCTAAATTTTGAAATACAGGCTTGTAGGAAGAAAAAGTGAGATACTATATCCAAAAGCTGTCCAGCTGATTGTTCAGATTTGAGGAGGAAGGGGGAAATCAAGAAAAAAAATGTGGAAGGAATCTTAATAGTAACCACAAGGTGCAACATGGAGAGCCTTTAGCTTATTTATACCATTCTCTCATCAAAGATTCAGTGTTTTAAAAATCATAATCTACTAACAGCCACAGAATGACAAAAATGAGTAGTATTAAAAGGCTTGTAGTTTTGAAGTACTTTAAGGGCCAGATCCTACTCCACGTAACACACGCCAAAGTGCAATCCTATTTACCCTGCTAAAACCAAGAAAAACAGCTAATGCATCTACTTTGTTGCATGCTGTCATCTTAGCCTTAAGACTAACTTATAAAAAAGGAGAAAGGAAGAAAAGAACTGCCACCTTTTGTATTAACGGGGTTGTTTTTCCAGGGACTTAAGCAGGGTAGGCAAGTAAGGCTGGAATGGACCTCCAGCCCCATGCTCAAGGAAGGATCATCCTTAACTAAACCATCACAGCCAAGTGTCTATCCAACCTGCTCTTGAAAACTTCTAGGAATGGAGATTCCACAACTTCTTCAGGTAGCCTGTCCCAATGCCTGACCATCCTTATAGTCAGAAAGCTCTTTCTAATCTCCAACCCAAATTTCTTCTCCTGAAGTTAGAGGCCATTGCCTCTAGGCCTCACCCCTATGGCCACTGAGAAAAGTCCATCTCCATCCTCTCTGTAATTGTCTATCAGGTATTTTTAGACAGTGATCAAATCCCTCATCAGTCTTCTCTTCTCCAAACTTAACAGTCCTAGCTCTCTTAGCCTTTCTTCGTATGTCAGGGGTGGGCAATAATTTTGGGGGGAGGGCCGCTTACCTAGTTTTGGCAGGCTGTCGAGGGCCGCATGGGTAGCCCCACGTTACTACTGCAGCTTCCGACTGAGGGGGCAGGGCCAGGCGGGCCCTCCTATTGTGGGAGCCCACTGGGCTTCTCCAGGGTCCTACTGTCCTTGGTTCCTGTCATTTTTGACAGGAAACAAGGGCAGATAAATATTAATTTTCAAAATTTTTTAGGGGCCCCACAGGCCAGATAGAATGGCCTCAAGGGCCCCATCCGGCCCATGGGCCATATTTTGCCCACCCCTATCATATGTCATGCTTCCCAGGCCTCTTTTTGTCACTCTGCTGGACTTTCCAATCTGTCTACATGTTTCTTAAAGTATGCGGCCCAAAACTGGACACAGTACTCCAGGTGAAGCCTCACCAATGCTGAACAGAGCAGAAAAATCAGGTCCCATTATTTACAAGTGACACTTGTGTTAATACAACCTGGTATACTGTTGGCTTGTTTTGGTTCATGTTCTGCTTATGCTCCACTGTAACTCCTCAGTCCTTAACTGCAATACCACAGCCCAGCCAGCCATTCCCCAATCTGTATTTATGCATGTGATTATTCCATCCCAAGTGCAGGACTTTGCAATTGTCTTTGCTGAATTTTATCTGATTGGTTTCTCTTCTCCAATCCGTTCAGCTCATTTAGGATCCTACCCATGCCCTCCAAAGTGACAGCAACTCTATTCAACTTGCTGTCATCCACAAATGTAATAAGTGTGTACTCAATCCCACCATCCAAATCATTCATGAAAATGCTGAACATTACTGGACCTAGGACAGACCGCTGGGAAACCCCACTAGGTAGTGCCTCCCAGCTAGACACTGAGCCACTGAGGACTGCTCATTGAGCATGATGATCCAACCAGTTTTGTATCCACCTTACAGTATTTTCGTCTAGTTTGTATTTCTGTAGCTCCTTAACGAGAATAGTAGGAGACAGTGTCAAAAACCTTGCTAAAGCCAGGATATATCACCATCCACTGCTCTCCTCTCAGCCACAGAACCTGTCACCTTATCAAAGGAGGAAGTCAGGTTGGTCAGGCACAAGTTGCCCTTGATGAATCCATAATTACTGTTCTCAATAACCTCTTTCTACTCTTGGTACTTCACAACAGATTCCTCAAAATGTGCTCCATGCTCTTTCCAGGTATCAAGGTCAGATTAGTCTCTAATTCTCTGAATCCTTCTTCTTCCGTTTCTTAAAGATGGGCACTATATTTGTCTCCTTTCCAATCAACTGGGACCTCATCCAACTTCCACATGTTCTCAAGGACAATAGCCAATGGCTCTGAAATTAACACAGCCCATTCCTTCAGTACCCTCAGGTGTATCCCAAATGGCTCTGCCAACCTGAAAGTATCTAACTTCTTCAAGTAATCCCTAACTTGTTCTTACACTACTTTAGGGTACTTATCTCCTTCCCTATCTTTGCTGTCAACTGTGTTCGTCATCTGGTAGCTGAGTTGATTTGTAAAGACTCAGTTAAAAATGGTATTAAATACTTCTGCTTAAGACAGAACAGGATCACGTTTAGGTGCCTAATACATGCAGTAGGATCTGGCCTAAAGTGATTTTTTTCTTTTCTAACCTCTCAGTTTTCTCCTGTGTTTTCTCAGCCAATTAAATTTTGCTTTCTACATGTGTCAGGAGTACAAACTACCTTCTGAACCATCCAATCATCAGACGCCTTCTTAAGCATACCACATGAATGAGAACTGTGGAAGTCCAAGCAATACCATGAAGTGGATTTTCAATTTTGTTAATCAATAAAATTCCACTGCCCCATACATTTAGATCAATTCAAACGTTTAATTTTCAATAAGCTCAAAAACCCACTGAAAGAAATTCTTGTTTACAACCTTTGCTTCCTTCTCTGAAATAAAAGCGGTTAAAGAAAAAAATTATTTGAAATGTTCTTAATTTGGGTATAAATGTTTTCATGTCTCTTGAAATAACAAAAAGAGATTAAAGTCATGTACTATATACTTTTGCCACTATAAAACGCATCTTACAAGAATAAAGATATAGTAAGTTGGCACCAAATAACTGCAGTCTTGTCACTTTCATTAATAAAAACATGCTGCATTTCCTAGCCAGCATTTCAGTTTAAAAAAAAAGTATTACTCTTACATGTCCATTGGCTAGTGGAATTTTTTCTGTCAGATCCACACCATCAGCATATACTTGAACCAATCCAAAAATATCTCTCGTTTTGACTGCTTCACAAAGAGCATGCAGTTTAGCTGCATTGTCAATGTGCTTCTTCCTTGCATATTTTCTCTCAATATACTTGGCAGTAATATAATCTTTTCTTGCATTCCTGAAATTAAACATAATTTACTTTTAAACATTTTAACAGGATATGTTCCAGAGTTACCAATTGGCTATACATTTAAGCACAGTCAGTAAAAATTCAGGTTAACTATGCCTGTCTAAAATCCATAAAAAAGATTCAGCCATCCATAAAAATCACCAAGCAACCAGAGCTTGATTGTACCTCTGTGGTCAAAAAGAAGCTAAAGGCAAGCTGACATACAGACAAAGCACAGCAGAATCACCTGGTATCTGAAAAGGAGTGCTGCACCCCGAAGGGAACCTTCTCTCAGGACTTTGTAGGCCACGGGTGGGCAATTATTTGGGCCCCGTGTGTCACACAGGGAGTTTTCCTGAGCTGTCCCAGCTCCCTTCCACACAACAACTCACCAAAACTCCCTTTGTGGGATGGGGCTGCAGGTGGGCAGGGAGTGGTGTTCAGGAGCGGTGTTCAGGAACAGGATGTGTGGGGCGAGGCCAGGATAGCAGGGCAGGCTCACAAAGCAGACACAGCATGGGGCTGGGGCCCAGGGCAGAGCTGCAAACTACTGCCTGCATGCTCCTGTGATGGGCGCTGGTTCCACAGGCAGGGGCATGTGGGGAGTGGACTGCAGCTCTGCCCTGGGCCCTGGCCTTGCGCCGTCACTGCCCTGCGATCCCAGGGTCTCCTTGGCTTCAGCCACCCCTCTCACTCCAGGACGCCACACCCTGCCAGCCCCATCCCAGTTGCCTGGCTGAGCGCCCTGCCCACACAGGTCCCAGCCAGTCTCCGTGGAGACCCCAGGTTCATGGGGCAGAAAAAGCATGAGCCACAATGTACTCCCCACAAATCCCTGCCTGCAGAACCAGGGCTCTGCCCCAGCCCCATGGCGGTAGGGAACTGTGTCCAGAGCCAGGGCCAGGATCTTGGGGTGGTGATCATGGCTCTGCCCCAGCCCTTCACTGTCCAGTCTCTGAACACCCCTACCTGCAGAACCCAGCTTTGCTCCAGGCCCCGACCCTGCACTGTAACCCCACCCTGTAATTCTAGGCACTCTCAGGCCCTGCCTGCTCATCTTGCTCCCAGTTGCTGCTCCCCACCAGCTCATGGTCCCATCCCAGCTGCCCTGCTTGCACAGATCCTGCCCCAAGGCAGTGGGTGCAGGGCAGATGGGCTGGGGTCCCTGGGCAGTGGGGCTGGGTCTGGCAGCAGCAGCCAGAAAGAACCACTGCCACAGGGGCTGCCAGGAAAAGGACTATGGCTGCCACACTTCCCTAGCCCTGCTGCATGCCTGGGCCAGGCAGGACTGAGGGACTCACCATGAGCCAGACAAAATTCTTGTGGCCCAGATCCAGCCCAAGGACTTATTTAGGGAATGTGCTGCTGCTGCATACTGCACCTGTAATGCTGGTGGGTCACAGGTAGGTTTTTTGGGGGTCTGTGCTGAGGCAGGGGGGATTGAAGGGTAGTACAGTTCAAGATATAGTTGGGGCCATGAGAGTGTGGGGGTGAATAGGGGACCCCTGGGGTGGGGGCAGCATGGTGTAAAACTATTGCTAATGTCAAGAAGTATTGCCAACCCCCAAAAAAATACACACACACACACACTTTTTACTGATACTACACCCCAAAATTTGAAGTCATCCTTTTTAACTGGTGCTTGGCAGCAGGTACCAGGGCCTGGCGGAAGAGTTACATTTACATTATGTAAAACGTATCTATGAAACTATGCTTTACTAAAAATGGTTGATTGTCAGTAAAAAAAAAAAAAAGTCCTGGGTTGGCAACTCTGATATCTACAGATATATATTACATATACATGAACAGGACAATCTATTTGACAAAAACCTCTCCTCTGGGGAATCCACAAACCTGTGGGGAAGGTTTGTGTGTCACATTCATTGGGATACTTTCCACTTCTCACATCTACATGTTAACTATGTAGTCTCAAACTTTCAGCATATGGTGAATTGAATATCCACTATCCTTAAGGACAGGAAAAAAACACAAGATCTGGAAATGGCTTTACTTCCTTTGAAACCCTGGGCTGAAACTCAGCTCATGACTACATAAACTTTAGGTTTAGGGGCTCATTGAGGATTACAATCTTGATTTCCTTCATTAGAATTTATACACGCTCATTCAGGGGAAAAGCCAAAACACTTAAAATCATGTGCAGACTAATCAGACCATGGATACAGATTTGTAGCAGTAAGCAGAACCTGCACTCACTCCCTATTTTGCACAGTCAGAACACCTGGTCACAGAGTTGGTGAACCCTTAGAATTAATCCCAGCTTTACAGTCAACCCTTCTAATTTGATAGGTAAACTGTTACTATTTGCTACTGCTATACCCTGGGAACAAATTCCTACCCCCTCTCCCTACCAGAACAAAGTAGGAGCAGGTGCCTCTCATAGGCATAATTCATTTCTTGTGCTGAGGCTGAGGTGGTGCAGGTACATACTCCCCCACAGAGATCACTTGTTACAAAGATAATCTGCTCCTGAGATACCTCTGATAATGGGAGTAACAAAAATCAATTAAACAGTGTAGATATGCAAACCGTATTACTTAAAATAGAGAGTATTCTTTAATTTTTTAAACTGTACTCTTTTTTCCTTCCACTTCCAGTCAATCTATTAAAACAAGTTGTTGATTAAAAACTAAATGCTGAGATCCGTGTTACAAGTTTCTCAGCTCATGGGAAGAGACTTAAACAGCATGGAATTTGACAGGCAAATGAAGGGACAAATACAAACATTATTTCTGCGCCAAATTTAAAACACTCATTTATGCTTTTACTCTATATGTTTCTATATTCTATTGTTACACATTATTAAGCTTTAAGTCAATTGGTTTTTTAAATTTACCTCTCAAGAATGATTCAGTATAGGACCTGCTACAGATTACTGAAGGACCTAGGGCAATCAAATCAAGTGTGCTTCATTCACAGCTGGTTTTCCTGGTTTTATTCTTCCCATGTCTTCCAGCTGTTGAAGGAGCAGGAAGCCTATGTGCATCAAAATCCTCTCTTTTAAAGAGAGCTGCATTTTGTTTACCATATTTCTTTTACTATGCAAATCTTGTTACAACTGAGAATCTCTCACAGGGCTATTTTTAGCATAACTGATGAATGTATATTCTTAACTCTTTGTAGACAGTAATTTCAGTTACAATTCCCAAGTTAAAATAGATTTATATGCTTCTGCATAAACAATATTTTACTTTAATTCAGCATGTCATTCTACTCATCCCACCCACCTGAAAAGACGTTCTGGCGTTTTGTACATCTCTCAGAAGATTTAGTTTGGTGGATGATTTGTGTATCATAAAATTCCATTTCCAATATAACAGCGAAAATGCCTTTCACTTAGACAGCAAAAAAGATAGTTTTGTTCCTGTATTTATTTTGTATTATGTTGCACCTTTCTAAACCACCAAACTAAACAGGTGAGAAATTAAGCATTAGACTGAAAAACCTGATTTAGCAGATTTTCCTCTACTGCTATCTGAATAGCAAGTAGGGGGCTAGGCATAGAGCTAGGTGGGCTGCTGACTGCTACCCTGCCAGTAAAGGTTTGAACTCTCAGAGAGCTCCCAGGATTATCTTTTTCTCTATCAACCCACAAAGCAAGGTGCTAAGCACTCTCAACTCCAGCTGATATCACTCGGTGTTGGTGGATGCTCAGTTCCTCTTATTCATCTGGGATCCTGCCTTCTAGTTTCTTTAGGTATTTAAGAGTACAGGTAAATGACTGGGCTGCATGCCCTGGGGACTTCAACATCCCAAATAAGTCACTGTTAATTTGTCCCATAAGGACTGTCTCCAGACTCAAAAGGTATAGTGGAAACAGTTAGTAACATGTAATCTTCAATGTTGGGAAACAGGAAAATGAGATAAGGATCAATAAAGTGGTTGTGTAAGGCATCAAAAAACCTTGGTAACTGGTTTTGTAGTAAAAAAACAAATAAACAAATGTGTGGAACAAACATATAATCAACACAGATCAAATAGTGGCTCTGTACTTACATGTCACTGCTTGGATTAGGTTTGACAGTCTCATCAACCGGCAGACAAAATTCCATGATCTCATTAAACCCAGCATTCCCAATATTTTTGGCAAGCTGTTAAAAGTAAAATATCTACATCTCAAACAAACTTGTTCAGCTACTAGGTATGTACACTGTAGTAGTAATTACAAGAGAAACTGGAATCTTTTGGGGTTCCGATTCCTTATATTTCTATATGATTGTGTGACCATGATCAAATTAAACAGCCCCTCTCTGCCCTCATTTTCAGATCTTTAAAACAGATACAATGCCTCCTCCTCTTTCCTGAGTTATGAAATACTTTAAAATTCTCCTCTCAAAAATGCTACACGGGTAAACAGTTGCAAAATATTTTAATTGATCACTTGAAAGGCATATTTAAGTGCCAAATACTTTGCAGTTCATTAAAAAAAAGCAATCTACTTCATGGAAAGCCTTGCTAAATGCCAAAAACCATGAAACCTGTACTCATACAGATGATAATATCAGACAAAGTAATTTTTCAAGAACACAATATTTTTCCTATTTGAGAAAAGCAGTTTTCCTTGCTTTTATTTATCATCCAGGAGTAACTTCAAAGGATGAAAAAATTAAAATAACAAAAATACACACACAACAGAAGCCATTACTTTCTCAGATTGTTTTTAAATACAAACATTTATTTACCAAAAGTTCAGATGTTCCCAGCACATCTAAAGTTAGCGACTGCATCCTGGAATAGTGAACACCAAGTTCCCTGTGAATTCCTGAACATTCAATACAAGTAAGAATTCCCAAATTTGTTGAGAGCCAGGTAGGATCTGACAAAAGAAAGGATACCACAGAATTAAGGTTTGATCAGGTAATGATTACACTCTAAAGATTATTAATATGGAAATGAAATCAGTAAGTGGAAGATTCTTGTGCATAAACTTTAAGATTTCAGTTTTTATGACTTTTAAATTTAGATTTGTTGGCAAATCTGAAGCAGATCTTTGACGGTAAAAGAAGCAAAAAATGTGAAAGTTAGGATTTTAAATTATTTGGGAATATGTTCTTCGACGCCTCAATGGGATTGCTCACATTTGTATATATGTGTGTGTATCTATACACACACACACACACACACACACACACACACACTTAACAGACACAGAAATGAACCGAAGGAATACTTCAAATCACCTTGTGCTCCACAGTCACAACACACATCATTTCCAGTCATCCTCTGGACCTCTGATATAATTTCTTTTGTCAGCTCTTGGACAATATTATTTTCTCCTGTGTTATCATCACCTTTGAAGGCATTATTTAAAGCTTCTTCCTTGCTGTTCTGTAGCACAGATGTCCATCTAAAACAATAGTAATATTTTACATTTAAAATGCTATATGCTTCTAAACTATAATGGGATATTATTAGTAGGATGGCAACCCTAGAAACAAAAGTAGTGAAGTAACTCACATTTGACATTCCTGTTCATCTTCAGCTTGAAAGTGATATGTTCTGTCATCTGTATAACAATAAATATATTATATATTGAACCAGAAACTGAACACACATACAGCCATCTCAGTGACTAGAGTTCTCTGTTCTCATTACTAGAAAGTCAGTTATTGGGTGAAAAATTAAATTTAGTGAAATACACTTGTTCCCAGAGGACTTTATTGAGACTGTGGTGTCATGCACCTTCTGGATAGGGATCAAATTAATCTAAATTACATACTAGTTTATATCTTTGTTTATAAGTCATTTTCAGTCAGCCATTTCACCTACACAGAGCAGTTTTTTCAGAGTAGGTGTTCTCCTCCTAAAACAGGCATGGGCAAAATACAGCCCATGGACTAGATCTAACCCACAGATCTGCCAACACATTGGATCTGGCCTGAGGGTTGCCAGCGGCTTCAGTCACTGCATGGTGCTAGACAGGTGGGCAGGACTGCTTCTACCCAACAGCATTAGCTGTGGACCTGGGCAGGGCGTTGGCCATAGCAAGAGGACGGCGAATGCCAGAGGGCGGACAGGTTCAGGAGCCTGGACACAGAATATGCTGGCAGTGTCCACAGCTGATCTGCTACCCTCCCAGCACAGTGCAAGCTTCTGCCCAATGCCCTGACCTGGAACCTGCCAGCAGAATCAGTCATGGACCCAGGCAGGAACTTCTGCTGAGCCAAGGTAGAATCTCTCTCCAACTTCTTCCCTTCCCACATTCCCTCCAGAACCCAGCCAAAGCTGTAGTTTCCCAGAAGCCCCAAAACTCAGCTACAGACCCAGGCAGGAGCTTCTGCTGCACTGGGTGGGTGTCAGCATCAACTGTGACACTGCCGTCAGGTTCTGACACTGCCACCCACCCAGCATGGTGGAGAGAGAGAGAGACAGAGAGAGAGAGGTGACCCTCAACAAGTCCCCAAAACTCCAGCCAAAATAATTGCCCACCTCTGTCCTAAAGCTATCTTTATTATTAAGGGGCTGTGCCTTTTACTGGCTATGGACAGAAATGCAGTTTCTACCAAGAGAATCACCATTCTCCTAGTAGATGTCACAAGTGTGCAGATATTCAAGCTTTTTTTTCTGGGAGCAAGAAACGGCTACTTAGGAAGAAAAATGATTGTTCATGGGGGAGTTTCTCTTGAGAGACTGCATGTCTGCACACTTTCCCTTGGCTTACCTCCTCCTGGGGACCATGAGTAGAGCCTCCCTGTGCTTTCCTGAGAACAGGGTAACTGGTCTGGAGAAGGTGCAAGAGGCAGCTGCTCCCAACCTTCCTGTAGACAGCAGTGGAGGGGAGGAGCAGATGCCAGTGGCGACCAGCTGCTCTGGAGGGGGGAGGTGGGGGGGAGGCTTTGCCCTGCTGCTCCTATCCCTTCCTGGACTAGTCCAGAAGGAGAGAAAAGCAGCTGCTGCTGCTCCCTTCCTCTTCCAAGCCAGACACAGGGGCTGGGGGGGTTGTTTTAGTGCTCCTTCCACTCCCCGCCAAGATTGGGAGCAGAGTGCATAAGACTGATCCCCTGTTTCCTAGGACCCAGTAGGGGGCAGGTGCAGTCTTTCCCCACTGCTCCATTCCCCACAGGCACTGCTCCTCTCACCTTCCCCAGACTGGAAATCATTCTGGTCTCAGAAAGGCATAGAGAGCAGGGGAGAGAGCACAGCTGTTGACTAAACTGTACTTCTCCCTCTCCTGGTAGGATTCCTAGCAAGCGAAGTTTCTAAGAAATTCACTGGTACAAATGAATGTCTGTTCATGGCCACTGTGAGAGCCAATAAGCATTATTACATTATCTTAAGATCTGAGTAGTACTTTCTGGATTAAAAACAGGTCTGAGAAAGTTTTATGCTTGGAAAAAATATCTGACCAAAAAATCCATAATTGAGTCATTTAAATATATCAAAAGGATTTTCTGAATTCCTTTTCAAGTCTCAAAAACTCAAATACAGGCAACCCCTGCTTAACGCTGTTTTGTTTAGCGCTATTTCACTATCACACTCATTTGAAATTGATACCCAATTTCACTTCTCTCTCAGTGAGTTTCATTATAGCACTTGCGGTTGCCTTCTTGGGTCATTAAAAACACTTCCGGTCCCCATCCTGGGTCGTCAAATACTTCCAGTTTCGCTTAACGCTTGTTTCACCTAATGCTCGGTTTTCCAGGAGCCAATTCATAGTGCTAAGCGGGAGTTGCCTGTACAGCAAACTGGGCTTTAAAATCTTCAGATACACACAGAATATTCTCTTTACAAAAAAAAAAAAAAAAAAAAAAGGGGGGGGGGAAAAAAAGAGCACGGACTATCCCCTCTTCTTCCATAACTATACCACTGTTATTATAAAACAAGAATAAAAATGATAATGAAAATTCTAAAAACGTCCTAACATTTCAGTTACATAAATGAAGAAAAATAAAGAATACAGAATTAGGTAGTATACTTAAGGTAGTGTAAAGGTGATGTTGTAGCTGTGATTATATATAAGTACAAAAGCAAGCAAAAAGCAGGTAAAGGCTGAAAAGAGGGAAATAAAGCAAAGGGGTGGGGGGGAGAGAGATTTTAGTCTGAAATTTACAGGAATTTGGCCAGCTATCAAGGCAAAAAGGTCTAGAGAAGCTGTTCCAGATATGAAAAGTGTACAGGAGAAAGTGCCCCCTCCAAGAGAATGAAGCTGTATGAAAGAATAGAAAAGAAATCAGTGCTAAGTGAGGTGGGGGGGAAGAGAGGGAGAGGGGGAGGGTCTAGATTTGTAAAGTATGTGGAAGAAGCTGATGGAGGATTTTAATAAAAAGGCAGGTTTTTTTGGAAATAAATGCAGTGGAAGAATTGAAGGGCTGGTGGTGATTAATCCTCTTTGAACAGGTGATGAGGTGAAAATACTCCACATAAGCCAGTATCAGGTGAAATGAGACTTAGGACTCCATAGG